GCCTGGTTTATTTTTCGTGCTTTCTGGCCTATGTTAGTTATCCTGATTCTGAACTTCAGTATCTTTGTCCTTATATAAGTCTGTGGTATATTGTGACCAGTACTAAATTTTTTCGTTTAACTGTTACTCTGAGAAAAGTCAAAGGGTGGTTGCATTATGATTACTGATTATCTTACTGCATTTTTAAGGTATATCCAGTGGACGCTTTACATCTTCGACCATTGACACGATTACAGGAAAGACTGAAAAAAAAGTTAGGGACCAATGCATATCCATTTTGGTTTCAGATTCCGACTCATTCAGCGTCAAGTGTAACCTTGCAGGTTCTTTAATAAATTTGCTTCTTTTCTAATAATTTCTCTTCATTTACCAATTTGGATTTTTAAGAATTATCGTATATTTGTTGGCCTATCAGATATTATAGAATATAGAAGATCAAGTTATATTTGCACTGTTGCAAGATCGTCAAGTAATCTATTTACCTACGTTCGCAGAATCTTCGTATTTTTCAACACTAAATTTTATAATTGTGATATATAAGTAGATGTTTTTAGCCTGCCCAAGGTGACACAGGGAAGCCATGCGGAGTTGATTTCGAGTTAAAAACAGTTGTAGAATCTCTTGAGGGCACCAGTGTCGATAAACCAAAGAAACAGTGAGGTTTTAAAATAGCAATTTAAAAAAAATAATAATAATAATTGGATAACAAGAATAACACGTGCGACATGTTGTGGATGGGATTTCTTTCTTTTTTACGTTTCATTATAAATGAAAGAAAAAGCGATTTATCGATGTTGCTTGTATTAATCAACATATATAAATGAAAAAAGCAAACAAGAAATTAGAAGACGACCATGATTTTTTTAGTAACAGTGTACGCCTAGCTATACGAAAATTAACTTATGCACCGTATAAAAATCGTCCTCAGCCAACCATCGAAGTAACCAAAGAGTTCATGATGAGTTCCGGCTCGTTGCATTTGGAAGCATCACTCGATAAAGAGGTAGTTTATGGGTATATTTCTAATGAAACATTCGCCTTTTATTTCAAACCTTAAGCCCAGAATTCGACTGTTTGATTATGCTCGTATGCAGGTGTGTAGGTGAATGGAGACTAGAAAGGTATTTATTAAGCAACTATTGAATACGCTGGACAGCAGAAATAACTGCTTATTTACACACATATCAAAATGTGTTATATCGGAAAATAACTTGGAAAAATAGTGTGATGCTCATTCACCCTTTTGCAGGGAGATTATGCTTGTCTTTTTTCGATCCCTTTAGTTTTCTTATTTTAATTACTTGTGCAATCACTTTTCCGAAAACTATAGATGTATTATCATGGTGAGTCAATAGCAGTGAATGTTCACATCCAAAACAACAGTAACAAGACGGTGAAAAAAATAAAAGCCTGCATTACTCAGATTGCCGATATATGCCTTTTTACTACTGCATCCTATACATGTGAAGTTGCGAAGATTGAGTCAACGTTAGTTTTCCATCTTTCGCTATTATCGAGTTTGCTTTCTTTGTCATGATTGTTTTCGATTCGGACTGACATTATATTAAAAAACATATCATCTTCATCCATCTTTGTGGTCAGCGGCTATATTTTCTTGATGTAAAATAAAACAAGCGCGCTTGTTACTTGGTTATGTGCAGTTTGTTGTTTAATATATCATTTTTGAATGTGAAGTACTTTTCAAATTCACTTTAACTTCTCTTGGGCTTAATTTGTTGTCACTGTGATTTATAAAAACATGGAGACAGCAAATTCTTACAGCAAATGAATAAAACTTCGGCTTGGCTTATTCATTAAATTAAATATTATAATGTTGAGCACTTACAGTTTCATTTCTTCCGCGATATTCACAAAACGTTTCACTCTTTTTTCCAGTGAAGGCTTTCCTGTAGGACCAGGGGCAACATTATCCAAAGTTTATACTCTTTGCCCATTACTTTCAAACAACAAAGACAAACGAGGTCTTGCTTTGGATGGACAGTTGAAACATGAAGATACCAGTTTAGCTTCATCGACATCGTAAGTGAATAATTTTTTGTCGTTTCTTACTGTTTCTAAAGAATGTCTTCTTAAAATTCAGTTTTATGTAGCAGTGAAAAGTATCTTCTTCAAATTCAGATAGTTTACGCTTTTATCTAGGATCTAGGTTTGAAATTTCATTTGTTGATATTGTCAGATATGTTTCTAAGTCCTGCAATGATTTTTTGCAGTTTGTCGTCAGAGACAACAAAAGAAAATCTTGGAATTGTTGTACAGTATAAAGTAAAAGTGCGTTTAAATATTAGTGGTCCACTTGGAGGGGAATTAACCGCCGAATTGCCTTTCACGTTAACACATCCAAAGCCTTTGGAAAGCACTGAAGAGCGACGTGTAAGTTAATATTAATGTTAATGCAAGTTAATGTTAAAGTTAATGTTTCTATTAAAATTTCTTTCCTGAATTTTGAGAAAGTGATTTGGTTTTACTGTCAGCGCTCTCAAGCATACTGATTTGAGAAATATATTATGATAAGTTTTTCAGGAACAGCAGAGGACAAAAAGTCCACTAAATAATGAAGGGCTTAATGTGGATCTCATACAACTTGACACGTTAGTTCAGTCTATTATGGCAATAACGTCAACTTTCGAAGTTTCAAAATAACTTTTCTTCGGAAATGATTTTCCTTTCTTTGGGAATGGATAAAATTCTCTGAACCAATGCTTCTAATTTAACAATTGTTACATGCACAATCTCTGCTTTTCAGAAATCGAAACCTATTATCACATGCTTTACCTGGTATTATTTTAATTTGCATTCTGCTGTTATTTGGATATTCATTTCAGCTTTGATTTACCAAGGGTCGAGGATGAAGATATCATTTTCGAAGATTTCGCTCGATTACGAGTTCGAGCAGCTAATCAGAATGACGACCCATTTGAGCCATTCTGAAACCTTGTTGGCTTCTTCATTGTAAGTGTTTATTCGATTTATGGTGTAATTTGGCATCTCTTGAAATTGTATTTATGCATTCAAACAAAGAGACGTCTTACAATCCTGTTATGTTGTAAAGATTCTCAATTTTCTTATTGTCATGCGAAGATGAAAGCTTTAGTAAACAAAATATTTATGGTGGTAGTAATGATCATTTTCAAAATTTTGATTTAATTTCTGTAGTCGATTCTTCCAGTACGTTTTCGTTGATTTTCGACTAGAAATTTCCAAGTACAGAAATATTTCTGGCGTAGTAAGTGAAGTATTTCTTTTGGTTGCGAGTGGTCTGATCTTCACCAGTAGTTATTTTCATATTTCGCGTTCATCCTCGATATAATTTATGAGACTAGATATTTTTGCAAGTTACACCTCATTTTACATCATGATGTCTGCATAATCTAATTATTTACAATATGTTTTAAAGTTGACTTCCAGAGAATGAACGGGTTTTTTTCTTGTTTGTTACAAAACTATTTGTGATTCTTTTATTATTCCTTTGGTTCTCTTACATTTCCACTGTGCTTTTCTTTTTTCATACCCTGAAACACGATTTTGTTGCATGTAATCTTTTTTTAATCTTCAGAGTTCAGAACATGCCCTTCTTTTGATAGAGTGAGTGAATTTAACAACCTTTATTTTTTTAATGATATTCTATTTATTATTTATGAAAGTGATGTTTAAGAGCTGGTCAACTAATTACTTTTCTTTCAATCACTAAATTTAATTTGCCCACTTTTAATCCACACAATTTTCAATGCTCAACACTTGTGCTGTTAGAACTACATTGTGATTCGAAACCTACTGGTTATTGGTTTGGATATATGGATTTAGTGAAAAACGTTAGTGATGAGCATTCCGCTGAGGAATGGCGAAGTTTAGGGATCAAATTCTTTTGTAGTTAATCAAAATAATCTGGAATTTAACTGGATGAGAAGGAGTTTCTCTCAGATATGGTTCTTCTGTTCATTTTTTCCTTCTGGAAGAGAGATTTTCCAACCATTTATTTGCTAACAAAAAATGTTTTTACTTGACAAGGGGAAAAGTTAATGCTTAATTTGTAACAGATATTTATCTTTAGTTGTTTTTAAATGCAACTTGTATCTGAATCATTTGCAATCTATGTGAGCTAACAATATTCAAAATAATTATCTTTGTTGATCTGGCCATGTGTTAGTTGGCTTCTCCTCTTAAATCATATGAACATTCCGGATAATATGTCTTATTCTTTTCCCACTTCTATTACTATTTATTCACATTCAACTTATCCATTTCACTTATTTAGTCAGCTTTGTTTAAAATACTTTTGCGATAGCATTTAATATGGCGTTTCATTTCCGCCCAAATAGTCCTATAATGTATTTCTCTCCTTCTGTTTTGTCTCAGTCTATCCACGTATTGTTTGTACTAGTTCTTTACTGTTTCTGATATTTCTACTGGCAGTGAATAAAAGCCCTAGACACATGTATTGAAGGAAGAGACAAACAGTCAAAAGCAGCAATTTTAATTGTGGTAAAGTAAAGAACATAGAACTGTTTGCAAGTTCAAGGAAATATTTAGATCAAATCAAACGCAAGTTCGATCAATATGATTATTCTTAAGCACTATGTGTTCTAAGGGTGATGTAGTAGTGCAGGAAGAGATATAATTTGATCTGAAATGTGATCTAGAAAGCCCAATGTGGACAAGATGGCTTCGTCTTTTTTAAAATGTTCACTATTTTCAAATTATTGGTTATGAAATAACTCCCTCGTCTTATTTATTCTTTTCACAACACTTCATCCTTATTTCCTTGATCTGATCTGAAATTTTGGAGAACGACTGTATATTTACAACAGTAATTATTCTTTCCTAACACTGATCAATTTTAGCAAAAGATTAAATATTACCATAATCTCTTAAATAAAATGTTCATAGCGAAGATATGTTACTTCCTTACAGAATTGAGTTGATGAGTTAATATCTAAAATTTTTAAGAAATACGAAACCTATTAATGATAATAGTGTTGTCATCAAACACGTTTGATTTCAAGGCTGATACTTTTGTCATCAATTGTATTCCCATCAAATCCACGATCCCGTACATAGTTCCTTAATATAGACAAGAAATTGAAGACATCGATATTCAAATCAAACTGTGTCTTCAGAATGAATGTTACATCAATAGCTGGTATTGCTGGTACGAATCTGCAAATTAAATTGCCGGAAAAGAAAAAGCATATTGCGCATTATTCTTAAAGCAATTTTTGTAAGGTATAATCCTCAATGTTAATAACTAAAGTTTTAATGCGTGTTTTGATGAAATTGTTTGTTTTCCAAAAAAGTTTCAGCAACTTTTTGACAACACAATGTTCAAAATGAATGTAGAAAAGATTGTTTAAAATATCCGTCCTTACCTGAACTTTGTCACTTCAGAGGCAACATATAATGGTCCATATGTGCTCTTTCGATAGATAAGATTTAACTAAAAATTCATCTTTCATTTACATGTTTAAATAAATTGTATAAAATGAAATAGTGTCATGGAAAATGAGGAGAAATAATTGCATACGAAGTAACCATCCCATGCATCTTTCAGAGAATTTGATGGAAGAATGGAAATGAAGTAAAGATATGCAAGTGATAACTTATGGCACCTGTCGTTGTATTTTGTTAGCATGTATTATGAATTCATCAGTATTCTTTTGCAATAACTTTCCATCGAATTTAAGCAATGGTCCTTCTGTGATGAGAAAATGACCCTCCAAACGATGCAATGCATAGAATGATGCTGAGGAGACTGTTTGCGCTACAAATTACCGCATTGTTTCATATCATTGATCTATTCTTCGCATCGTAGAGACCAATAGAATCTCAAACGTTGCTTAATATACTGTTACGATCAAAATGTCGTCAAGTATTGTCTTAATTGATGTCAATCTTGCCATTCATTTTATAGTTTACAATCACTTTGCAGTTACTATCTTCATTAGACTAATAGCATTCTGGCACAGAATGTAACATTGAGCATTTCATTATGACAAAATTGCATATTAATAAAATATCCAAACTAGATTTAAATGATCTTTTTCTTTTATATCTTTTTACAAAAGTTTTCCTGTCGTTAAAGAAGTTGTTCGACCCATCAACGATTCTGTATTAACTTATCAAAATATTTTATGAATAAAATCAAAGTAAGGATAACTTTTTGAAATTGTAAGTATGAGTATAACAACAGCCATGCCAACCAGAATGAATAATAATGCAAGCCACATAATTAACTTGATTTTGTATCGCGGTGACGTTTCATCGAACTGAAAATTTTTGAAAAGACTGCCTGCAATCAAACGGCGGAAATCATCTTATCAGTGTGTATTGTGGTCTCTGAAGAATGGACAGATTGATGCCATTTTTGATACGCATTTAAGTTCGCGGTTTTCTTGTTCATTATCAATTCTATCTGATAATGCCCGTGATTTTCTTGTTCATTATCAATGCTATCTGCTAATGCCCGTGATTTTCTTGTTCATTATCAATGCTATCTGCTAATGCCTATACTTTCTCCACTTTTTGTTGCGAATATCCAGCCAATTAAAACAAACTCAAACTTTATTTTAAATACAAATATAGAAGTTTTAATTTTACTCAATCCATGTCTTAGTGGTTTAAATAACTTCGAAATTTGCATATTATATCGTTTATAGTTTCGTGTTTCTAAATCAATATTTCTTTATTATTAAACTAGCAATTCTCAAGAAATTCACGCTAAGTTGGTAGTATGAGCCAAATTCGATGAGTAATCAGAAAATTGTACTTGTCGTCAGTTTAATTAATATAACTTCAAAGCAATCAGATTCATTTTTCGTTCATTGGAACAACGAATTTGTAAGTGTCGCTAATTTGAGGTGACTTTGTCAATGCAAAACCTTCAAAAACGAATGACAAACATAAATGAAGGATAATTGGTTGATTAAGGACATTTCAGCTGGAAATAAAGAATATTTGAAAAGAATATACTGAACCGATGAATGGAAAGTATGGAAGTAATAATGGAGGTAGGAAGCGAGGATGATACAAATGGTCATCTCATGTTAGTGAAAATGAAGCGTTAAAGCCAGATAATGAGATAATGGGGGTAAGAGATAAAGCTGATTATCAAAAACAACAAAGCAGACTAAGGAATGAAAAGGGCTAGGAGAGATGGAGTTCAGGCCAGAAATTGAATTTTAATAGATTCCGCTGAATTAGTAGTAAATAAAGGAATTAAAAAATTATTTGACTGAGTAAATTGCAAAAAGAAAATTTATCAAACCAGAAAGACTTTTGTTATGCTCCGAAGGAAATCAACTTGAGAGGGTAATATTTTCACAGTGATATTTATATGAACTTTGGGTAAATGTAAAAAGGTTGGCAAGGAAATCATATTCAAGGTAATATCGAAAACAACAAACTGAGAACTTAAAATCAAAAAAGAAGAAGTAAAGAATTGATATTAACAGCATAGCGAGATTAGAAATTATCAATGAGTCTTATCAAAATTAGTCAAAAAATCATTGCTAAAAGCTGTAATGCCAAGGATATGGCAACTAGTACTGTAAAAGGTAAGAAATAAATTTTGATTGGAGCCAAATTAAAAAAAAAATAAAAGTAATTAGTAGCATTGAAACAATTGGATTTCAGTTCGTAATTTTAATCATCAGTTTAAGCTACGAAACTTTTACCTTTTCAAGCATGGTTTTTGAGTCAAAAAGAAAACCAGAATCCTGTAAATCAGAGTATATGTCTGAGAATCGTTGCTGTTGTTGAACCACTACACTTTGAGCGGCGCACATTGGCGATTGTAAAACATCTACTGAGTAATTTATAGGTTCCTAAAATTGTTTCATTATGACAATCGAAAATAAGAAATTTTCATTATCTTCTAGTAAGTGTCCGCACAATATCTTATTACAGTAGTAGTAATTAGATAAAATTATGAAACAAGAAAAATTAGGTTAGTTTCATTAGGCTACTCGACAACAGCCTATTAAGGAATTACCAATGGTCCACAGCTGTCCGTGTCCAGCATATAATCACACCGTCATGAAAAGTCGTAGTTTTGATGACTCATTGGGCGTCTTTGTATCAGTCAGAGGGATACACTGCCTAATTACTGATTCAAAAAATTCATACTGTTCCCAGCACTTTGTAATACTCCCGCAGATTTTCCGTTCCAAATTTTCACAATCAGAAAACTCTCGGGAGCATTATAAATAGCTACGAATAGTACCAATCTTCTTTAATGCAAATTGTACTGAGAAAATTAATTGTTAAGCAATGTATATGTCCTTGTTAATGTCCTGATTATTGAATCTTTAAATAACCTGTTATCAGCATACTAATGATTTATCATAAGCTGGCAAAGTATTATTATATTATTAAGTGATTTTGATGACTTAATAGGCATTGAAAAATTAGATTGAAAAAATATTGAAGAGATAGGTAGTTGTTCAAGATTATGAAATGTTTTATTTCATACTGTTTGAGAAAAGAATTAGTGTAGAATTGATAAAACTTTGGAAAGCCAAGACATTAATATTTGCTTTAGTATTGAATCTTTTCTCAAATATGAAGTTTTCATTGTTGAAAGAGTAAAAAAACTTTTAAGTTTACCTCATTAAATGATATTTTAATTCTTAAAAATCCTATTTTTCGATAAATCAGCCAAGAAACGGACAAAAAATGAAGGAAAGTAAGCAAAGTAAGCTAAGCCACTAAAGCTAAGCCAGTAAAGAAAGACAGTTATCAAAACGAATTCTGCTTATTTTTGTTTATAACGGAAGTTAATTTCTTTAATTGTCTAAATCATTTTGAAATCGATGATTTCATATTTTCCTGAATAAATCCATTTAGAAAACAAAATACTTTTTAAAAGTAATATCTTTTTTAAAAGATCTTCTTACTGAGTTTCTAAGTGACTGATGGATTAAATTGCTATTTCAAATATGCTTCTGATTGGAATCTCCTATAATGATATAATGATAAAACCTCCTTGACCTATCATGAAATCACGCCTTCCGAATATTCTATTTTCAAGTCTTCGCAGATCTGAAAACAGCTAGTCCTCATAACTTGATTGAATAGACTGTGACAATTACAACTAAGGCTATCTTTATTTAATTAATAATAATTTGACAGCCTTTGAATTTTGGTGTAGTAATAATGAGAATCATTGAAAAAACCTGACTGGCGAAGGTATTGGTACAATAATATTGGACAGTACCAAATGTCGACAAGGAAAAAGGTGGATAAAAATTGATGTTGGAGAAATAATTGACGGGGAATGGCCCTGTTGTGTCGGCTATCCTTTTCTTATTAACCTGAAAGATGGATTCTTCAAAAAATTTCATAAAAACAGAAATAATCTGAGATAAGAAAGAGGGAGAGAACGAATGGTGAAAGAATAGCAATGCAATGGCGGTAAAACCAAAAAAGGAACATGCATCGCTTAATACTACAAGAAATTAGGCCATGTTGCTGTCGCCCCATCAATTTATAATTTTTCTTTTTTAACCCCAAAGTCCATTCTATATCTCCGTTGAGAAGAATATGATATCAAATACAAAACGATCTCTTATTGGAAGAGCATGGACTGAAGCTTACTAAATTTATGATCATCAATGCAACATTAAAAGGTATCAAAAACAGTCCTATTTATTAATTGAGAGGGCAGGTGAATGGGTGAATGAGTGTAGAACTTACTAAGTGTACAAAATCTCTCATATTAGGAAAGATATTATTAATTCTAAATGAATTCGAATGGTATCGAAAGGAAAATTGAAGTATTGCTTGTCGTGATGATAAATAATGATATTAAGATAATGTAAAATGGTTCATTGAGACAGTTCAGCTATTCCAGAGGATGAACGATTTGGACAACAAACTTTACTAACATCATTCATATTCCAATTCATAATTTTAATTTTCTTATAAGAGATTTCTTGACAAAACAGGATTTATGGTCAGCCTTAATAGGAGTGATTTTGGAAGAAACATGATGAAAAGAATGGATTAATGATAAAAGGAAATGTTGTAATCTATTTAGTATTAAAAATATATGTAAAATAAAATAGCTTTCAGTCTCTTCCTTCAACTCCTTGTAGTTTCTCCTTAATATCTTCCACCAAATTATCTTCGAAATGAAAATAATTAAATGTTTTAATTAAATTACTAAGAAATACGCAATCATACTAGTTTGAAGTATTATGAAAATATAGTTTATATTAACTTTTGTTAAACATAAACCGAGATAGTTCTTTAAATTTTCCTTCATTTAACAAAATACGAGAAAGTTTAACAAAACTTTCAGCTTTTATCATATAATCGATAGTTTTTTCTTTTTTTCCTATAAAAATTAACAAAATCAAATGATATACATCAAAGTTTTAAGCTTTTTAGAATTAAATTCGAAAAGTTTTCGATGGAAGAGTTTTAAAGTGAAATATTAAAATATTAAAATCTTTTGCTAATGGCATAACCACATGTTAATAAATCAGAAGAGATCCGAATCCTTTTGAATCTCTTTTATTCTAGATGATGGTTTAACTTCGATGATTTGATAGCTCAAATTTCTTAAAGGTTTTTGAGATAACTGTACTTTCCTAGGCTAACATGATAACTATATTCAACTTTTGATTGTTTAGGAGAAAATGGAATGTAATAAGCCATTCGAAAATGATATTAAAATAGTAAAGAATGTAAATTTATGATGGAATATTCAAAAGAATGTTTGGCAGTTATGTTTTCTTATCACTTTCCAGTAATTCTTTTTATCACCCATGCAATTTTAGCTATATTCCAATCAAAATATTATTCTTCATCTTATGCTCTTTCCGATATCCAACAGAATCGTCGAAGTAAAACAAAATGTTTAGGGAAATCATTAACAGAAATACTGATAAAGTGGAAAAAGATATTTGTATTGTTTCCATTTCTTTAAAGGATTGAACAAATATTTGTCATTTATTCAATTTATCATATTTTAATTCCAAATGACTTTTACTAGCCTGATTCTTTTTGTTTCAAAATTTTAATTAATAATCATTTTGTTTCTACAAATGACTCAACAGTTAATCCATCAATTTTCATCATTCAACCTCCAATAAAATGATTTAAAAAATTCCTTTAATATTCCGTTTGAGTTTGACGATACCTGTTGAATATTGGAGAACTTAAGATGGAAAATACTACCTGTGGTTGTTTATTCATCGCTTTAAGGTATTTTGCTGCTTTTTGATCATCGTGTTCATAGAAATTAACAAAAACTTCGTCAAAAGAATATAGGACTGAGAGCTGGGAAATAAGTACTGTAAAATCCTGATTTTTGAAAAATAAAAAAAGAAAAACTGATATTCTGAATTTAAAAAGTGACAAATGTTCAGGACTCGACTCTCACAAAGGGAAATAAAATAATGTAGTAATTGAATGCTGTTGTGAAGATGGAATCACTAACACGGTTATACAGATCGTAATCAATCTGCTGATCGATATGACCGTAAAGATAAAAGCCAGGGCGACATGTCACATTTTCCATTTGATCTGACAATATTTCACTTCGTCTGCTAAAAGAGCATCAAGTAGTATCAATCATCAGTGCAAAAATTAATCATTCATTTTCTGTAAGTTTCTCAACGTTATATACATTTTGAAATAGCTAAAAGAAGAAAATATGTCTGTCCAAAGTGATAATAGCAATGAACTTATGACCTTTGAAAGGAAAGAGAATATAAAATGAATTAAACAAATATATGTCTATATTTGATAAAATCAGCAGAAGTAATCAATAACTGTGATATAAAGCAATGGGGATAAGAAATTCAGTTAATTATACACCCTTTGGATACTGTTTTTTAGATACCATGGGAAAAAGTTTAACTGAAAGAAAAGTAGGTCCTCTCATTAGATGGTGATATGCATCTGTAATGCAAAATACCACATTGACCTCGATGTTATCAACATTATTTCAAGGTTGTAGACTCAGTTATTATATGTTCCTTTCTGAAAGTACTGTCTCTCATAGAGTATTTAGTTCATCTCATCGAGAAAATTATTTACGCTCTAAATCCAATTAACTTCTAATGTTATGAAAAGTTAAGGAAGTTTAATTATTATAAGTGAGATTGTTTAGTGGAAAAGTTCACAGCGATCAATTTAGGCAAAGGAAATTAACTAAATAAAGTTGAATTTTCAGAAGAATGAGTTTGAGATTTGGTAGAAAAAATTATTCTTCCCAATCTATTAAAGAGACATCTAAAAGTGAAGACAAATATTCTTTTGACAATAATTCCGTTATCATTCGTCACTAAATTATGAAGTGGTGGTGAACTTTTGGTAAAGACAATATCATGTGATCGAGAATTGGAAGCAGTCTCGATATGGGGTTATGCGATAATCTCTACATTACAGGAAGTAGTGGTATCATTGAAGATTTGTAATTCGCAACTCAATTAAAATGATACCAAAATAAACTGGGCAACTACAATTTCATGCTTCCTAATAATGTCAATAAAGTAATTGGTAGAGTGAAGGATGATAATTCATAAGTAGTTGATGCAAGTGAGGACATTCAACATAGTCAGACATCATTGTAGTAGTAGTAATTTTGGAAGTGATAGAGAAAGTGAATTGAATTTGACCTAATAGAATCTGTATCACAGACAGAATTTAATTTAACACAGACGACATCTCAAGTGACACTGGAATGGACTAGAGAGTGAAGTGCACCATAATCATTACAAATTAAAATTCCTTTAAATTGTTTGGTTTCCTTTCTCTAAAATGCATGTGGGTGAAGAAGTCGTCATGATCACTACTTAATATAAAGTTAATGCCAGTTTTCCGGAATAAAACGCAGCAATTCAAGACTTCTCGAAAAATCGATCAGATAGTTTGTCCGTATGTTCATTTCTTTGCTCACTTATCCTGTTCATATATAAAGTTAATGCCAGTTTTCCAGAATAAAACGCAATAATTCAAGATTTCTCGAAAAGTCGATTAGATAGTTTATCAGTATGTTCACTTCTTTGCTTGCTTATCCTGTTCATTTTGTCATCATTTTCTCGTCCACTTACTACATCATCTCCAATTGTATAGTTTGAAGTATTGCACATCCAATAAACTATACAAATTTATTTCATAGTAGGTTCATTTGCAGTGCACTGTTTTACTTTATTAACCCAGCATTAATCCACATCCACCTCAGTTAGGCACTTGATATCCATGTATTAATTACAGCTGCTGACTATTTTTAATCGATATTTCGCTCACGTCATAGGATTATTTTGAATTTTATAAGCAGTTAACAACTATTGACAGCTACAAGTAAATAAAAGGACAATACGTATTCAAGTTACAGAAAAACCGCTGTCAGGCATCTGTTTCAGGCATCTTTTCATCTGTTTCTTTTTTTTTTTTTTCAACCTCTGTTTCATTGCTTGAAACCCTACCTTCTTGCCTGTCCTTTAGCAAAATCCGACACTATAAAATAATCTGACTATATGAAGAAGTTGCTGTCTTGTGTGATTTTTATACTGGCTTTCGAAATCCTCGACGTCCAAGTTACGAAATTTTTAAATGTGTGCTTTTTTCCTGTTATAAAATTTTACGATGTGGACCATCAATAGGTAGTTCAATGACCTAATTTCATATAAACGATTGGTTGATCCCTCCGACTGTTGCTTGATATTTTCCAGTACTTACCACAACAGCGATCCAACTCATCATTTGATTTCTATAACATAGTGTTATGTTTACAGGAGTGTTCTGGATTGGGTAGAAAGACTGACGAATAAAACAGACATTACGTTGTTCACTTTGAGATACTTTATTATTGGCACTCTATAAAGTTGCTAAAAAAAATATGCGAACTACTTTTTAAAACACATGTTAATTTTGAGTTCGGTGTCTTTTGAAAAATTCACTTTTTAATCCTATTTAGATTGACTTACTAAATCTTTTTAATGAAAAAGTAAAAAAGAAAAAATCGAATGAAGAAAAATTATAAAATTTAATGAAACATATTTCAAAAGGATCTGAAAAGTGAATTTTCCGTTTTAATAAAATCACTGCATTTTAGTGTAGCAGAAAAACAAATTTTCGAAGGAAACGGATCTCATGTGGAAAAGAAATAAAAACGGATGGAATATGAAAATTATGTGCAACTTTGCATAAGCAGTGATAACATCAAAGTGATGACAGTGATGACACCAAAACTACTATTATCAATATCACAAATGATGAATTAAATATCGTTTAAGACCACTTTCGGGTTTAAATGGGATTATAAAATCTTTGCAAGATTTCCTTCATAATATCGCAGTGCCTATTAATCTATTTTTTGATAAAAAATATTCAAGTGATTCAGTCAGTCATCTCATTACTGATAAAGATACATAATGATAAAAATAACAACATATCATAGACAAATACCAGAGGCGCCACATGCAACAAATGCTTCCTTATCCATGAACCAAGATATGTTGCCTGATTTAGGCTTCACCATTGCGGCTGGAAAATTAGAATTTTGACCACTCATGATTTCCTGCAACATATTCATTATTTATGGAAATAATTTACAGCTAAATGCTGAGACTTTATTCGAATTAAACTGCACTTTTAAACAGATTCCTGATAAATAGCTGTTCAATTGTAAATGTTAAACAAAGCTTTTCATCCTAATATATCAATTTCATTAAACTGTATCTGATATTAAAAAATCGTGATAAGGAAGCTACAGTATCGCTACTGACAAATCCTTTCCATTTTTCATTAAAATTTACCCGTATTAATTCACCCTTCTTTCTACCAGTACAAATAAATGCCACATATCTGGCATGATTAATAACTGGTAGCGTTAAAGTTATACGTCTTGGTGGTGGTTTCGGAGAATCTTCGACATTTGCAACCCATCTGATATTTTCCTGAACTTATGTAATTATCATTAATATTTATAACAAATGAAAAAAAAGCTCGATGCAGTAGTAAAAACAATTTATTTGATGGTCTTGCATGACAATCACATGCAATAAAGTTAAACAGCTTATTTAAAAATAAACCTATCGCGATTTCTAGACAAGAATTCAATGCAAGAACTCACAGTCAACAACTTATTTGTTATATTTTGTTACAGTTCGAAATAAAACTTCGTATTTTTACCCTTAACACTGGGTGTCCAGGAAACAAGGAACACGTATGACCATCTGGTCCAATCCCCAATAACAATAAATCGAATACAGGCCAGCCTTCTTCCGTCTCTGTAGTACAGTGATGTATTTGTTCTTCATAGTTCTTCGCACACTGTAATGCTGTACATGCTTTGTTAAATGGTGGATTTGATAAATGAACCGAGATAATTGTTAGTTTTTAAAAGAAATAAAACAATGTTTCATCTTTCCTTAAAGCTATCATTTCAACAGCCTGTAATCTCATTATCAGTGAATCAGAGAGTCCCAAAACCTTCAATAAAACAAAATTAGGTGCTCAAACTTGCAGCCTAAATAAAAATAAAGTATGAAGAAACAGAAGCAAGCAATACTGTTGTTCACGGGCCCATAATGTACGAGTGATTGGCTTATATTGGACGGTAGGATTTTCATATAAGCTCCTGTGTTCGACTCAGTATCACTTAGTGGAACCATCCGTTCATCTGCTGCAAATATCCGAACTTTTGGCCAGTCAATATCCTCTAATCTTGCTAATAGAGGTGCTACCATAGCAGGCATCGAACCACCTGAAAAAAGTTTTGAAGACTTGTAAGCTGGGAATGTTTAAACGAAGTTGACAAATATAAATACTCTTTGATATATCAAGGTCTATATCAACAAGTATTTTGTTGATGTGATGTTCTCGAAAAATCTTTGTATGAAGAAATAGGAAGCCCAAGGCGTTTTGAGTTATTTGAAATTGATTTGCAACCAACAAGTTTCAAGTTTAAACACCGAAGAAAAAATACTCCTTCTAAGAACATCGGGAAAAGCATTAAAAATTCAAAAGGTACGTTTAGCGGCAAAACTTAAAAAAAACAACGAACACTCGATGGGACAAATAAGATTGAAGTCCTGTCACTCAAAGAATATAGATATTGCTAACTGCGTGAAGCTCACCAGAAAGAGCAATTTTAGCAACGCCTCGTTCATTAACTGCCTTCTTAAGAATCTCCTTCATGTACGACCCCAATTTTCCATTCACATCAGAGGCATTTTCGATAACCATTATCTTCTCTCCACTAGTCTCGACATCACTTTCCAACATTTCTTTCTACCGTTGACAAATTTGAGTCTGAATTTTAATCAAAATTTCAGCGTCCCGCACACCAAGCATCCGTCATAAAATGATTACTACATAGAAAGATGAAAAAAAAAAGATTATGTGCAAAAAAATGAAAAGCAGGTGAAAAATAAGAAAAAAGAAATGCGCTACCCCATTAACGTCATATCTATATCATAATTTTTTTTTTTTGAACGATATCACGCTGTAGCATTACACCACCTTCCATTACTGATGTATGAAGATCAATACACTACTTATACTCGTTCAAAACAATTCAATTTTGCATATCAGATCTTTTATTTGTAAGAATAATCTTCCAAAAAAAATGCGCAATAACAAGATACACTATACTTTTCAAAAATCTTAAAAACTAATGAACGCAAACTGGATTGAAATTCATGAATCGACAAAAGACATTTTCGAACGATTCAATTAAGACCACATCATTTTCTACCAATGATATAACGAAAGTTAACATATCATTTACATTCGTTCAAAACAATTCATGTTTACTGTCGATTCCAGCTTCAATAATCGTTTTATCTGAACTACCGAAGCTGTGCAAGAATGCAAATATTCCGTGGTTTGACTCAATAGGAGCACTCAAACAATTAAGGTTAGGAAAAAAAGAAAGATTTATTCAGCATGTCCCACTTCTTCAGCAGTTTTTTTCCAGCTGCAATGCAACTTCTGTTGCTATGTTTGCGGCTGATTCCGGCTTCAACAATTCATTTATCTGAATAGCAACAGAAAATACGAGAAAAGCGGTTACTTTCAGTAAAAGAATGTGTGAATAACTTAAATTGCGACAGCTAAATATTTAAACTATAAATAAATTTTCCCTCCAGCCTATATCTCCGGAAAATTTTGGTACAACAAAGTTACATTGGTAATGTATAAAGATAAAATAAAAGTTGAAAAGGAACAGAGAAGAAAAAGACTGGCATGTTATTTTATACTTGAAGATTGCTAGATGACGTCAGGACTTCAAATTATCACTAAAGTTATACAAAAAAAAAAGATGCTACGGTTTGTTCATTAAAAATACAATTTAAGTTATTTCCATTTAATAAACTGACCTCAGAATTAAGAGAAGCATCATAAGCCAGCACCACCGTTGTATCATAGAGTGGAATATGATGCATGGCAAGAATATTTACACAATTTGCCACACGCGCTATAACTGATCGGATTTTCATTGGTACTACCTTAAAATACTTCCAGGAATGCATGAAAGTCTTCAGAGAGCAAGATAAAAAAGGATTTAAAATTAGTTTTGGTTATCTAATGTAGTTTAACAACATATCGCTAGAACCGAATACTACCTCTTCCAAATTTTGCGAATAACCTCCTGTCATATTCTGTTCTTCATTTACTACAGGTGCTATCCAGATATAACCATTACGTCCGAAAATTACAGAAACACCACACGGCAACGTATGGAAGTGCGATTTTCTCCGTTTAACCAAATATGGAGAAATTTTTATCAAAGTCCCTTGCGAAAGCTTAAAAATGATTTTGTATAACATGAATAATCATAAAAAACACTTCGTAACTAAATAAAATTCTTATCGGTATTTTACTGTATGAAATATGAAAATACAGCAAGACATTAATATATCACTAGAATATTATTTCAAAATTTGTTGCATTTATTCTAGTTTAGTCGCTTTGAGCGTTTCAATCCTTGGCGTTGAGATAACCACATTAAAAAAAAGCATCAAAAAAAAGCACATTAGAAAAATATCTTTGATCATTGCCGCACTGAAGGATTTAACCTAATCTTGCAATGGTCAGTCTATAGTGTTTTGAAGTATATAAGTAATCGTGTTCGAAACAGAACTGCATCATCTCTGAGTGTCCAACTATTCCCATTAATGAGAAGGGACAGACATAAAGAAAATTTCAAACATTGAAACAACACCTCCCTTCTGAAAAATTTCGAAAAAAGGAAAAAAAACGAACCTTCCCATATCTTAAATTTCTCGTGTGCAACAATAATTGTCCATCCGAGTGCACCTTTTGTACTTCAGCCTAACAATGAAAATCAAATCAACCAGAATAAGTTGATTAATTCGACTTAAAATTGATAAGGGAATGAATAAAGGAAAATTTTCTTTAATGCATAGAACACATTAAGCTTGGTATATTCTATCAAGTAAGAAAAAAAAAAATTACACTAATGAGGTCGCCCTCTTTGAGGTATTCCCGCATCATTCGTTCATCTTCAACCGATTTTCTCCTCTGTAAATAAAAGTGATACAATCCTTCAAAAGAAAATGCTAATTGAGTGTTCTCTTCAGCAAGAGATGAATGGAGAAATCAAGAAGAAAACAATATGCGAAGTTAATAAAAGCACACTGCAGTTTAAAATAATACCTAAACCCTAATTCTAATCAGAAAAAACCGTACCAGCTCACCACCCGGTAAGTTCACGCTGGAAAGAAGTAACGTTGAATTTAGCCTGGAATTCGTCTCAACCTTCCACCTTTTCTGTTGTACTTCTGTAATTCGTCCAATCACCACATCGCCAATTTCTCCATTATATCTAGAAAAAAAAAAACAACACACACACACAGTGTTAGAATAAAATACAAAAGAACGGCAAAAAGACATATCTAAAAACTTGAGCGGTTCAAATATAAGCACAAAATGATAAGCAGCAAAATCTTAACTAGCTACAAGTAAGACCTTACCTGCTTTTCAACGGTCGTACCGATACGAGCTTGTTAACTTGTTCAACAGTACCGGCTACTGATGCTATCAAGTCATTACCACGCATATATGTCCCATGTCCCCTAAAGTGTTTCTGCATCATTTTATTTGAAATTGAAAGCAAAAGAAAGCTCTAAACATGAGGGTCAACAAAAGTTCAACAAGTTCAACCAGGAGAATATAACAACATAGACACATTCGTAAAAGGAAGTTAGATCACGAGCTACCGAAAAATGTCCCTCAATAATAATATTCTTCCATAATTACGCAACGTCGATGATAATAGTAGATGAAGCACCTTTTCTTTATTATTTTACCATTTAAAGTATATTTTGTCTTATTTTATTAATCTTGATAAGACCTCATAAAATCGGGATTAGAAGTGACTTTAGCACCAGGCACAATTAATTTGTTCTCGGGAACTCGTCTCTCCGTTACGACTACTTCTAGTTCCTTGAAACTTGAAGGTCCAGCAATCTCCAGTGACATCTGCAAAAGTTCTAATTACTGCCAAACTGAATACGCTAAAGGGATTCTCTATGGGCAGATAAGTCTATTTAAAACGGATTCATGATGCCCTTCCTATTGATACCTTTCCTTCCTACTAAAGTTTCGGAATCCTTTTCAAGATATTTCCCAACTTAATATAAAAAAGACCACGGAAAGTTGGAGTGGAAATAAAGCTGAAGCATTAATGAGAATAAAAATAAGAAATGAAGCATTCATGAAGCAATGCATGTGGACAGATAAGTATAACGTTATAATACCACATGCTATTTGCTTACATCTGTACATTGATGATATCGTCTTAGACATAGTACTTATGGTACTTGTGTGGTACTTATGTGGAACTTCACCTATAATGAAATCATGGCACTTTCAGACTATCGTGCAACTTGCTATTTTAGGGTAAATTTTAAAAAAAAAGGAATCTTGATTCCTACTGAAAGTCTCTATCCTAATGGATATTTCATATTTCGTTAGAATTTTCGAGGCGTTTCCCATATGTATATATTCTTCGACATTTTACGTAAAATAACACAAAACATAGAAATTTCATGAATTTAATGGGTTTCCAACAAAAAACCAGTATAGAAATCGAGATACAAAAATAAAAATCCCATCTTCGACTTAGGGATCAAATTCTAAACCCATAAAAACGAATAGAAGGCATGAATAAATGATCCAGTAATAAACACTCACAGAAAAAAGATTCAATAACGAGAAGTACAAAAAATTTGTCCAGACAAAGCAAAGAACATCACCATTGCATTAAAGTATTCTATTACTTCCTCGGAATTTACAGCTAACTCTTTGACAATGCTGAAATAAAGTGTTATTTTGAGGGAATGAATATTCCGGATACCTAATCAATAGATCAAAGTTCCACATCATTATCGGAGGGTAAACCAATGGCAGCCTTAATATGAGTCAATACGGCAGCTTCAAGACATGAGTGTACATGAGCTGTTGCTCTTCGGGCCGCTTCCAATATCACTATTAGATAATTCTTATGTAATCTATTTTGTAACTCAGCCAGCACAACTGCATCTTGCCCCGATATTGTAGCCACTGTTAGTCGAGGAATGATACCCATTTCTTCGCGCGAATTAACGTCTACACACGCTACTCCATTAGGTGCACAAGCACATGACGCTGCCGCAACCAAACCACGCATTGGCACACCTGCATCAGCAAGTGCTAATGTTCCCACATTGACACATGCTGCCAAATGACTTCCATCTGCCTAAAATGTAGAAACAAATGCAGAAGTGTCATAAGACGAATGTCATATACAACATACATGATTTTAAAAAAAATATACAAAATTCCTTTGAAAAATTGTTATTCAAAGAACGGCTTTTATCTCAAAAACCCCTCCTAGATATAGTCCAAAAGATGAATGGAAATATCAAGATAATATCGATATATGCACGACATATATATATGTTTATATATATATATATATATCTTTGCCCAAACTGAAATGACCAGTGTTTCGGTTGCTACCGGGAAATTTGAAACATTAATAAATGGTTGAGTTAGGTACATCAATCAGTGTTTATAATAATGAAAATCAAACGTAACTACTTCAGGATTAATACCTGCAATAGTTCACAGAAAACATCAATCTGAGATCGTGGATAGTTTTCCGTCAGAACTGCTGCTTCGAACGCTTTCTCCATCAACCGAGCAAATTCCAGCGATCGACGATCTCCTCGAGGTCGTTCCTGAAGCAGTAATTTTCATGTGATTGCAAACAAATAATCATATACCACTATCAATTTTGTTACGTAAATAGCATAAAAAATAAATCAAATAAGTTTGATATATAATCTATATAAGGAATAAAATAAACCTTCCGCTCATTAGTTGAGAATGTGGCCATGCTATACTGACAATTGATGATGCAACGATCCTCCAACAAACGACTTCGTTGTTTAGGTTCGTAAGGACCATACACTGCGCAAAGAACCTAAACCACTTGTTTAGACATGAATGAAAAAGTATGGAAAGGTTTACGATTTCAATTTTGATGATTTGATGATTATAGAAACTCTACTTTCGCTTTTTAAAATGAAATATATGCAGTCATTTGCATTGTACAATTGTAAACAATGCTTAAATATAATCAGTATTCGAAAGAAATGATGAGCAAACCTTAGTGTTGCCTTGTTCAAGATATGCTGAACCATCGGCCTGCGAATAGACTCCCAGTTTATAATTTAGGTTTCGAATTTGATATGGTTTTCGACCATCTTGACGGTAACCATGCTCTGATATGATATTCATATCTCCCAAAATTGAGTGAACGCAAACTGGAAAGTAATAGAACAGCTTCAAGAACTACGAACTGTTATTTCGATGATTCCTCCTTCCTAAATAGCTTATTTGGTGCTTGTTCGGCAAATATCAGCATCAGACGTTGACTTGTCCGCATGTGCTTATCAATGCCTGCAACAATATACTATTTCAGTTCCAAATAAATTGTTACTTGGGATAAACATGAAGAATCCTTCTAATAGCAGCTGATTTGATTGTAACCCATGCTTCAGACAAACTTTACAATACTTATGGACGCACGCGTTCGACAGTATAATTTTGGAGTGAAAGCTTAATACATCGAAGTTTTTCAACCAAAAATAAATGGTGGTACTTGTCTTAAAGAACATGTGGAAATACCAAAAATAATAAGACTATGGAAATCTAATATTCGGCATTTAATAATCAGTTTTTCATGAAACCCCATCTAGATGATATTCTGACACAGTTCTAAGTAGGAAGGGAAAACTGGATTACACAAATACATGCCCACGCAGATGCGTTTCGAAGATGCGGTAAAGGTACTGATTGCAATGGGTTGGAAGGGAAGCCCAGGTGATTCAAAATACTGAAATTTTTTTGACTAACGTTTGGATTCTACACAGCCATCTAGTAATTCAGGGCATGGTCCATTAAATTCCCAGGTGCTTCAAGTAATCAAAGCTGCTATATTAACTTGGAAAAGTGATTTAAAAAAATATTAATTACATTTGTTTATACACTCCGCTTCCGATTCAATCAGCTGGTGATGGTTGAATTCTCGGATGCACGCCCGAAAACACGAATCTGTCAAAGTGTTGTAAACCGTAAGAAATTCTCTGAGCTGAAAAATACCAACTAAACTTTATTAACCCAACGAAATTCATTGCACAAATACTTGTGTTACTGGAATAGAAGTGGTTGGCGATGTGACATGGCGTTACACAACCCTGTTGCTGGCCGCGAATATAGTGAAATGTTATAGGCACATATCAACTTATGCATCACACAGTTTGTCTCATCGCATACTCATAATTGATCGTAGGACACTTCTCATCGAAGAGAGCAAGAAGTAATGAAAGACCTCAGACAAAAGGCCTTTGACAAAAGCTACGCCTTACTCACAAACTAATCCACAGAAACTGACAAAAACTTACTTGCGTGATACCAGCACTCATTGACTTGCCAAATTTGTATTTGTCCTTAGGTACTTTACGGCTGGCTCTTGATGATTTTTTCTTTTCGTTACTAATATCACAAAGTAATTTGGAATGTTTCTGGATGAGAGTAAATTGAGATTAAAACTTCCCGGAGATTTTGAAGAGGTTTTTATCTCCATAATTTCAGTTCAGTGGTGGAAGTATTATGAGTCGATATGGTGCAATTTTCTGTTCTTTAAATGGCATAACTTCGATAAGAATAGTTGTATTGTTTCAGAAGAAAAGAGAATGGCATTAAACAGTTCGGAAATCCCCGTGTCGAAATTGCTCCGGCAAAAAATCGGGATAGGCGATGTGCAGGAAGGACGGAAAAGTAAGGATGAATATAGAAAGCAAAAGGTACTGGACCTTTACCATTTAAAGAAAATTTTGCAAGTTATTACAAACTAAAAAACGGTATAAGTAAATGGTTTTGAATTTTTTTCCAATCTTAGGGTGAAATGAAAAGTTTTTTGAAGGATTTGGAAGAAGAGCAAAAGTTGGGTATAGCTCCAGCAACAGTGGATGTTGTCACAGGGCGTGATATCAATCCACATATTCCAGAATTCATTGCAAAGCATCCCTGGTATGTACCGGCTGATGGACCTACTCTACAGGTTAATTTAAAAATCTAATTTCAGTCTTATGAGGAGGAAAATGCTTGAAAATAGAAAAATATTTATCATTGGTCATAGTAATAAAGTAATATTTGTTCTTTTGTTTTTCCTCTATTTTTTCCGTTTCCTTTTCAAAGGATAGGAGAGGAAAGGGCACTAATATTGATTGTATGTTGCAACTTTATTCATTTTTCTAGAAAATAAAGCAGTTTTAGCATCAAAGGCCGCACGAAGAGAGACAGATTAAATGGTCATCAATCGACGATTGGTATAAAAGAGGTACAACGAATGAAAGAGCTACGAAGTTCCGAAAGGTTGGTCTAAATTCGAACCGAATATCGCAAAATTCGTTTATTTTATCTTTGCGTTTTTACAATAATTGCATATTTTTTCAAAATAATTGTAAATTTAGGGTGCTTGTGAAAACTGTGGTGCTATGACACACGGAAAAAAAGACTGTTTGGAGAGACCTCGTAAAGTAGGTGCCATATGGACAAATCAGGATATCGCTCCAGATGAATATGTTCAGGTATGTCTTCTAAACCCTTTAAGTGGAAAATAAATTATGTACAAATCAGCTGAGTTTGAAATATTTCTCCAGTGTATACGAAATTATGGTTCTAGAACTTCAGGTTATAGGCGAGCTAGTTTTAAACCACACTATATAATATGTTTCAACAGATATAGTCGAGATTTGGATGGTTGTTAAAAGTTTTTCTGGGTTCTCCCGATTACCTTACTTTCTTGATATTTAATGTAATTATTATATAAAACTATAATTAAAGCCAAAATTAACGCTTGGTTGGGATGCTAAACGAGATCGATGGAATGGCTATGACCCGCAGACGTATAAGCAAGTTGTTGAGGAGCACGAGAAATTGGAGCAAACAAGGAAGCTTCTCAGGGAAGAGAAGGTAATTTTGGTTTTCTCTAATCATTTAAATTTGAAATTGAAATTCTATATCTTCGTTAGCCTATACATCTTATTGGTTTCATTTTCAGATGAAGGGAGAACTTTCGAAAGAGGAATTAGAAGTGGTAGAAGGCAACCATCATATAGCAGAAGAGCCTGCAGACGAAGATATGTATGCTGATGATGCTGATATGGCAGGTGTAACAGTTGATATGGATTCGCGTACGCGAATCACTGTGAGAAACCTTCGTATTAGGTATAGAAATAAAGATTTCAGCTAATGTTGTTAGGTTGTTTCTTTAATAAAAAATATTAATCAGAAAGTAATTTCAGAGAAGATACTGCAAAATACCTCTATAATTTGGATCCAAATGGGCCTTATTATGATCCAAAATCGCGTTCAATGAGAGAGAATCCATTTGCAGTACGTAAATTTTATGCGAAGCATATATCAGTTTTTGTATTTGTTCATTTTATCGTTGTTTTAACTGCGCTATAACATAATTTCAAACAGAACGAAATTTTGTGGTTTTTCAATCATTCAAACTTGTATTCCCCGACTTTGTTAATATCATTCATATAGAACGTACCTGGAAAAGAGAAAGAGGCAGCTAAATTTGCTGGCGAGAATTTCATACGTTATACAGGAGAAGTAGTGCAGGCTAACGAAGCGCAGGTATTCGCATGGCAGGCTCGTTGTAAAGGTTAGCGCATCTATCTTATTTGTATAACTAGAGAAAAAAAGAATTTGAAAGAAGAAATGTAAGTTAAAGTTAATATGTGTGAAGAGTATATCTAGTTCTTATGTAAGAGGAGTTTGGAAACTATGACTAAAATTATACTTATTTCTTTCTCTTACGTATATGGTACTCTACCAAATGGAATGCATTGTCATTTTAAAAAGAAATGAGGACTGAGGTCTTGTTGATGGATAGAGAAGCACGCAGCACTGTGTATTATAACTTCCAGATTTCATTTGGATTTTATGTTCCTTTCTGGCCATTATTAGTCACAAACATTAATCAACAATTATAATCACTATAGTTTTCACGAGAATCTATATCAGAAAATTCCTAAATCAGCTTTGTTAGGGACCAAGTAAGAAAAAATGTCAATTTTTACTTTTGGTGATGATTTAAGCGCGACTGTGGCTTTCCATTACTTCAATTTAGTTGCTATCATTAATTTTAATGTTTCAATTCAGGGATTGATGTCCATGCATTAGCTGAGCCTACAAAACTGGAAGCAATGAAAAAAGAGTTTGAGCAACAAAAATTGGGTGCGAAAGAAGAACACAAAAGCAAATTATTGGAAAAATATGGTGGGGAAGTAAGTATACAATAGTCAATACTAACTCTTCACTTTTAGCGTCTATAATTTGATAAAAGTACTCGTAACTAAACTTGCTTCTCGTAGTGAAATCGATCGGCTGTTCAAGTTTCATATCCGAAGGGCAGTTAGATCTTTATTGGTATCCTCCATTATCTATTGCTTCCTCTAAAAAATTACTTCGTAGTTTACGGATAGAAGCATGAAAATAAGAGGGAACAATGGTCAAAATATTGAAAATATTTTCAGAAATATTTACATGCACCACCGAAGGAGCTGTTATTAGCACAAACGGAAAATTATGTGGAGTATAACCGAAAAGGAAAAGTAATCAAAGGTGACGAGCGACGAGTGATACTAAGTCGTTATGAGGAAGACAAGTAGGTTCTCTCATTTCTTCTGTATTCTGTTGAGAAATTGAGAGATTAAAAAGCCATAAAATGTATAATTGCATAATGCATAAGATTTTAGCATATGTTTTTGATAAACATGTAAGGATCAGTGATTATGTGGAGTAAATTTGTTAGCAGTTGACGAGTGATAATAATGTCCTTTATATTTAGATACTTGAATAATCACAAGTCTGTTTGGGGATCTTATTGGAAATCTGGGCAATGGGGTTTCGCATGTTGTCATTCTTTCATAAAGGCCTCATATTGTCTTGGTGAAGCTGGTAAAGCTAGGAATGCAACAGATCTGAAAGTAGCTGTTTTACCGCAAGATGTAATTACAAACTCAACTCCAAATGTCAAGCACGAAATTACCGGTATAAATTTTCATAGTTACTCGGATAAATCAGCCAGTTTCCAAATTTATTTGCAGTCTTGTATAAATGGTTAGTTTTCATAGATACAACATCGGACAATGAGCTGGAAGATGAAAATTCCTCTGTTGGTAATGAATCATCTTTGGACGCATTTGGCTCCGATATGAGTGCTAAAGAAGAAAGAGAAGAAAAAGAACGACAATATGAACTAGAGAAAGGTACTTTGCATATTTTTTGATGCTAGAAATTCAGCTGTTACGGTAGTAGTTGTTTTGCCACAAAACATGAACACAAACACAGATTAAGAGAGAATCTGTTGATTCCTATTTTCCATCGTTCGTGGTATTTGAAGATATGATAAATTTATTGAAGAAAAAATATCATTTGGCATTCAGCTGAACGTGACGAAAGAAGGCGTAAGAAAAGGAGGGATAAGAGAAAGCGACGAAAAGAGCGGGAAGATAAGAACAAAAAGATTTCGAAGTTAAAGAAAAGAGGAAGTTTGGATGGAACTTCATCAGATAATGGGAAAGAACAGAAGAAAGAACTAGAACATGCAATTAAAAAGATCTATAAGGACTGGGAAGATGCAGAAGAAAGTTTGCAGCTGGTATTTTTTTCGATTTTTGTAAAAAGAGGGCTACTTATCACAAATAGTTCTCGCCACTTCTTTTTTCAAAAAATCTTCTGGTATGTGCAATTATCTAACCATCCCTAGAAGCAGCATCTCTAGAATGGAAATTAGGTCGTATTGTCATGGATTAAGCGTCGGATGAAATTAAATATTGATCAAGAGATGCTGCTATGTATATGTTTCTTCGATGAGACTGTCATAGTTAGTAATTAAGAGAGCGTAACATCAGCAAAGTCAAGTAGAGAAAAATATAAATTTCCAGGGCGATCGAAAACGGCGCTATCATTCCAATTATGACGTAAGTGCTCCAACACCCACTGAAATGGAAGCTTATAAATTGACGAAAATCCATGCTGACGATCCAATGGCTGCATTTATAAAAGAAAAGCATTGGAAAAAACACTCAGAAAAGGACTGAATCCTTTTTGATATTGTGAAATTGATCTTGTAAAATAAATTTAAACGCATCTTGAGAATGCTGTTTAGTTGTTGATAGATTTTTCTCTTTTCAAGAGTTCAGGCTCATTAAACTGTGGAAACAGTAGGTTTAAGTCTGTGATGAGTTCCATTAAGTTTCGGTTTGAGAACATTTATTCCCGATTCCAATGGGGTTCTTCATTTTTCAGTTTTTTTTCTTTTTTTTTTTTGAAAATTGTGTATAAATACATATAGATGAATATGATTACTTCCTACCCGTTTACAATTAAGTCAAAATTTCGATTATACTACGGACACTTTAAATATGATTATCTCCTTCCGTTGTTGATCTCCACAAAAGCACAAAAGTCAGTTTTCCATCAATTGAAGGTAACATTCAAAGAATCAGTGTAAGGAGCAAATGATGAAATGAATTGTAGTTAAATCTGGAGCAGAATTTTCTTATGTTTCAAGTTCATCAGTGTAACTGCATGCTTTTTCCTCTTATACATAACAATATTACGTAAATATAAAAATATAAAAGATAGAATGTTGGAATCGTGCTCGTGACGCATTTTGTAGTACTATTTAATATAATATAAATGAAGTATGATACGATGGGTATGGATGCTGGATTTCTTACATCAGTTAACGGGGATGTGAGACGTGGAGGAAAGGTGATTTCGTTGTCCAGTGATGAGCGCCATTTTTGAATAATATCTGGTCATTAAAGAACTAGGTTAACCGGACAATAGTGAGAGATGATTTGATCACGTGATGGTCATGGCGAACAGTAAGTTGTTTTGTATTTCATTAGGTATATGTATATATAGGATTGTGGACCGGCAAACCCTGAGCTAATATCTTCTTCATATTTATAAACTTATTGATCAAAAAGAGTACAAGGTCGAATATTCATTTCCTTTGTAGAAATAAATTCATTAGCATTAAGCTATATTATGGTAAGTTACTAATGCTTGTTCAAAAAATCTTTTGCAAAGGTGGAATCTTAGAACAGTCAAATAAGCTGCTCATGATAGAAGGGAGATGGCAGTGTTACTTTAATAAATTATTAACATCAATATATACATTTTGTTTGATCAGACAGCTTTCAATTAGTTTCAGTTCAAACACGGTTGCTGATTTGGGATCGAAAAATCACCTCGTTCATGGTAATGAATGCTGTTCTCAATTCGCACAGTGATCTACGCTTCGTCTTTTTATGTATGGAGTGGTCAATGCATGGTGCTTTATGGCTAGTTTTTAGGTATTTCATCTTCTTCATATTCTTATTCAAGCTTTCAAAACTGGTTTATCAAGTGGAAATTGTTTTTATTAATTTGTATCCAGTAAATGAATAATTTTGATAAATCTTGAAATAGCATTTTTGGGTATTTCAGGGTTTTTCAACTTTTTGATTTCAAATGAGTCAATCACTACGTTAATATTATTTTCAGTTCGTTTATATTCCTGATATCTATGAGATATAATTTTTCATTGAATACCAGATATGAATTAGCTATATTAACATTTGGTAAGTGCTTTAATTTTTTAGGCGGTTTTTTTTCCAGTATTATCAAAATCAACAGTTTTTTTCACTTCTTTTCTAAGAAAATTGAAAATCTGTAATGTTAAGACACTTGGGTAATTTTTTAAGGTCTCTGTACTGATTTGATAATTGTTGGGGTTATCAAAGGAATAATAAGAAGATCGCGGCCACCTTTTGACATCAAGGATCAGGTATATGATTTTGAATCTGATTGTATGACTAGGTGTTAACACCAACTCCCTCAAGTTAATGTAAAAAAAAGATACACAAGTCTTTTCTTGTCTTCTTCATCTCTTATAATCCCTTCTAACTTTTTGCTGTTTCACTGGACGGCAACTATTCTTCTGCCACTTTCCAGAGCAGGCGAATTTGAATTTGAAAAGGAAATGAATAAAGATTATCACGAATCAGGGAATGAAAGGTATTCTGTCGGATAATCAAACTGCCTTTCTTGTTTACATAAAACTTTGCAGCTCTACGAGGCGCCTTTGGTTGACAAATTTTCGTTTCCTTCTGGTCATTCTTCTCGTGGTGCAATGCTCTCAGTCTTGTGGTAACGCTCAAATTTAAAATTTGCATACATTGATAGTTAGGGAAGTTTTTTTATGAGGTATTCTAAAATATTCCAATGCTAATACAGTAACATTTGCATCCGTTTCAGCTTGACCTTTTGTTCGCTTCCATATTTTATTACTCTTGCTGTGAAGTTATTTCCAATTGTATTGGGAGCTTCAAGAATTCTTGTTGGCCGACACTATGTTAGCGATGTTGTGATAGGTTCATATCATCAACTTCCTTTTTTGCAATTAGGAATAAGTATCTCTTCAAGATAGCTATAAGTAACACGATCATAAAGCATCTCTTCCGAATTTGATTTAGCAGTTGCTAATAATGACTCATTTGGTATTTCAAAATCTTGATTGTTTGATTTAGAACTTAAACTTTTAGATCTGAAGTGGACACTTTCCTTTCATGGTTTCTCTACATTTGTATTTCAGCTTTTCTTTATAGGTTTATTACTTGGTTACGCAGAAGGGAATTTCGTACAATGTTTGCCATTGCATACAGTAGATCTGCTGAAACAGATGTTTCCTATGATATTTGATGGTAATGAACAATGGAAAACATAACTTGATGTAAGCTTAGAGAATTTCTTTAACTTTACATTAGTAATATCTGGTAATTGTCGTTATTCATAAAGTAATCTTTGTTTAGTTGTGTCACATTTATCAGCGATTCTTCTCATTTAATTAAAAGAACCTTTTTTAAAAGAAACTTTTTAAGAACCTAAAGGAACCAGAACATTTTTTCTCATTTAAAAGAACCTTTTCTGAACACTGATATGTAGCTCCAAGGCAAAGCGTATTAATTACACAGTGCACCTATATTATCGATGGTTTTGCGTCCCTTAAATCTTAATCGAGTTTACTTTTCAATTCCGCTGAAAACTTGGAACTTCTGAGATTTTTAAATTTTTAGTGAGTAAACAGCCCAGATGAAATTCCGATGAACTCTTTTGCTTTAGATTACGCCAATTCTTTTAACATGCTGCATCACCGTTTGGCTATGCACCGTTGGAAGGAGCTCGGAATGACAGTCATTCCGTTTCTGAATAAAATTCATCCCGAAGAAGTAAATGTAGTTCGAAATAGTTGAGGAATGGAATGTTTTCTTTCTCCAAGAATTTGAAAAAATCCATTTGCTGAACTTTTTAAGCTTACCTTTATCCGGTTTTATTATATAGAATAAAATATTTCCTCACACTGATAATCGATTTCGTGACAATGAATAAGAGTATGAATAACATTGATTTTTTTTGCTTTCAACACCGAACAATAAAATATCTAAACGTAACATAGTAAACGAATCTCTTGGTATTCAAACAATGAATAACACTTCCTGGCCAAATGAAACTAATCATTTCTTCGAGAAGCTCATTGCCGTCCTTCGTCGTTAAACGTTTTAGAAAACGGTTTTTTAGTAATCATTTCTTTCAAAATCTCCTAGGGAAGTACCGAGTTAAAGTTCAAACACCCCATGGACAATATATTACTTCGAATAATCATTCCTACTTGAAGGAACAAACATCCGTGGATGTTACTTCAATATTCTCCAACTCATTTTGCGCTCTAGGGATATTCTAATGCTTAATTTACAGGCGACAACGCTTTCTTTTGGTCAACGCTTTCTTTTTTTCAACGCTTTTTTTCAACGCTTTCTTTCTTTTGGTCTTTTGGTTTTTTTACTGATTTCTTTCCAGTATAACAATATTATTACTATTGTCCTGCTTTTATCATTCCTTTTTTCAGTTTTGTTAATATAAGACATGAAAATCACTTAATACATCAAATATAAACAATATCATTGAACTAGCAACACTAAACTCAAAATCGAAAATTGAGGGAAGCCTTCGGCACACGTCACGGCAACAGTGTAGCACACAAGTCCGGTAGGTGTTGATGAATTTTGATAATTTAATGGCATGAAAATCATTCGCGGGCATACTTAAGAAATGTGAAAAACATTTAGATCGGAACTTGAAAATTGGAAGTAAGAAGGTGCTGTAGCCTCTTTTAAAAAGGAAACCGTTCACATCCTTTATAGACTATCCACTGCGTTTAATACATGGGAAAAAAGGATACAAAATCTTTTCGAGCAAAGTCGGAAAACATGAATCCAAGACTAAAATTGACGACCTGAAAATTTTCAATAAGAAAACGAACCCAAAATTCTCCAAACGAGTTCGATAATATTATTTTCACTTCATAAAAATGAGAATGTTGTCGTGAAAGAAATATTATGAGAGTCAGAAGATGAGGATTACTGTTTTTTGTTAGTAATAAAGCAGTTATTTCTTTATAAAAAAGTGACTTACTGAACACCGATTGGTTATGTGTTCGAGGTATATAACAGTTATCCTTTATTGTTGTTCAATAACAGATACAATAATAACAGGTTAGAAGTAATTCCGATTGTAGTATAATAAGGTCCAATAACGTAGAATAACGGGAGAAGTATTGAAGTAAAGATTCGTAAATAGAGAGGAAATAAGTCTGGGTTATACTGAGTAGCGTTGAGTAGCGACGTGCAGAAAAATTTAACATTAACATTAAACCTTCTTAGGGATTCTTAGGGTTTATATATAAGCTGTGTGAAGAGGAATAATCATTGTATATTGACAGTATTCTCACAGGTGCAAGAGAAATTTACATATAAGAACAGTTCTCTTTAGAAAAGATTGCATAGAAATTATTTTATCTGATGTACAGCTTTCTCACCATTGTATAAAAGATTTTGCATGAGATAAAGCCTTTACAAATTAGTTACCATATATGCACAAATCTTAACATCAAAAGAAGTACTTCTAGTAGATTAGATAACTGACTCATGAATTTAAGCATGAGAGAAAAAATATGTAAATGCGATCTATTTGAATGAATGATTTTACGATATAACTATTTCGGTTTTTCCGACAAATGTTATTTTTTTTTTAAGACGTTTCCTCTGTCAGATCAAACACCCAATCTATGCTTTTATTACTATGTATAACAAGCTATGTTTATTCTAACTTTTTCGCTTCCATTTCCCGCCGATCTCATCTACGACAGCAAAAATCTTCTTAATCAGAGGAACTGAACAGTTTTCTAATGTTTAAATTCTAAACTTCAACTAAGAGCTGTGCTTATGAATTATGTCCAAACAACTCAACCGTCTTTTTTCACTTGGTAAAAAAGAACATTTCTATGTTTGTTACCATTTAGATGTAGAAAATTGGAAGAGCAACTTATAGAAAAATCTCTAGTTCCTTCTTTACCTGCATTCTATCAATGATAAATCAAAAAGCGCTGAATAGAAGCGATAACAAAAAATGCAAATTCTTCGCAAAAATATTAACCATAAATTTCTCAATAGAATGACATACTACTTCAATAGTTACATAAATAATAATGATATCTAAGCAGCCATACAATTTTCATGAAAGTACCAATAGTTGAAGTAAGCGCAATTATGCGCCAAAAAACTTAGCTAAGGCTGTTTATCCTATATGCAACCCTTCATGGTATTAAATTCTATAAGTTAGCACCACAAGTGAACGGCCGATTCATTTTGTTATTATTACGAACATAATCTCTCCTGACAAATAAGTGATATAATTTCACCACATTCGGTGTGCTGTTATTAATGAGAACATGTATCCTAGCATCAATCGTCAACTAATTTATATTAACGAAACCGAAATAATAAACTGCGAATAAACTATTTCCTTTAAGTTAAAATTTCATCGTATCCTTCGGGAACAGCATAGCTTCTTACTCGACTGAAAAACAGTGGTGGATATGCCTGATGATCAGTCGTATCCAAACAACTGTTAGACACCTTACCGTCCAAATAAGTTATTGTACAATTATATTCAAAAATTTGTAATACACAATGAACTCTTCGCTTCTTTCCATCTCCAAAATGTAATTCCATGTCAAATTTCTGATCCACTATCTGCAAAAAAAATATGGAGTTATTGAACTGCAAAAAAGATTACTCTTTTTAATGAAAATTGAACTTACTTCATAGGGTAGGAATTGGTGAAACGATTTGTGGATAGGTCGCGCTCGTTGCAGCGATTTTTCGTTACGGCGATGAAACTAAATTTTTTTTTTTGCAGTAGGAGTATGCTTTAAAACAAACTGACAAGAAAACTAATTCTAAAATTTAAGTGGTAAAAATGAAAGAAAATCTCCCCAAAAACGATACCTGTGCTGCTATACGACCTTGACCCACCATCCAGTAACGACCAAAAAGAACCCCAGCTAAATGAGGAGTTTTTGATTTCAAAAGCCTCACAACTTGTGCCGGCGCTTCAGATGTGATAATCATGATCACTGTACCTAAATATCGAAAAGAAATATCGTTATCCTTAACTGTGGGCTTCAATTTCATATGAACAATAATCTATAGATTGCTTGCGAAAAGTATGGTAGCTGGATAGGTTTGCAATTTGTTGCATAAAAAAACCAACAATGGAAAACACAATAACGAACCATCTGCAAAAAATCTCAACATCCGATAATAAATGACTATATGCCAAGGCTTGTAGAACTGATCCTGAAAAGGTAATAAGGAAACTCCCGCTAAAGGTAATAAATCTAACTGCACTTTTCTTTGCACTTTTTAAATAAATAACATTAAGTAGGACAAATAATGACAAACGAACAGTGAACAAAATAAACATGAGTTTTTAGGATGTACCTGAAATGTACTAGAACAGAAATACCTGAAAAGATGCTTCTCCGTTACGCAGATATGTCATTTTCCCGATATAAACTCCGTGCAGATAAGGATGTGGACATGTTATATACATTTGACGCCAACTGACTAATGCGGAGCATGAGGTCGAGTTTATATATTTTGCGCCAAAAGTCAGACGACAAACTGCATGCCACAGTTCTTCGTCACTAAAAAACATCCAGATGAAGGAGGCAGAATTTCGGAAAAAAGAATTCTCATAGAAAATGAACAATTTTCAACTTTATTTAAAAATAAATCGATATATGACGGTAATTTCATATTAGTTTACCGTAACAATTTCTTATAGCGGTTCCTAACAAAGTAGATTAACTTACAGAACTCGCATTCCGCTAAATATGTCGGCTTTCACAACACCAAATGCCACCGTAACATAATCCATTTATCACATTATTTGTCAAGCAATGGTACGGTGTTCGCGGACTAGTAAATTTAAATTTAAACTAACCAATTATACAACACTGAAGTAATAATGCTAACCGTGCAAGAAGATAAAATCCAGCTGAAGTCATCGACAGCAATTCCAGGCAGTACACATCAAGCTCGCTCCCAACAATATATCGCATCAGTATGGAAAGTAGTTCCATAGGTAAAAGCGCGAATGGGCAAGGCTCATCTGCAATAACATTTACGTCTGATGTAGACTTGTGCTGTAGGGCATTTGTAAAATTACAATGCAATTCGCACAATGTTATTCATCTAAATAAAGTCATATACAACATTTCGAAGAAAATTTCGAAAATTACGAAAGAATTGAGCAGGTTATTTATACAGCGAATAAAATTCCCTTCTCGAACAGAATATTTTTTAAAATCGTTCAAGCATCATTAATAAATATCTTTGGTTTCTATCCAACTTTTTTCAAGTCGGATTAAATCCAAAACGTAAAAGTGTTTACTAAAACTATTACCTGGAAATTCTGGTTCAAAAAATCTTCCCTTGTCAAGAAGTCGTTTACGAAGAACTTTTTCTAAACCATGAGAACTACAACGAGGTCTTGAATGAGAACGGTGGCGATCATTAGACCCAATCGTGTTCTGAAACCATTCACAATAGTACTGAAATGCCGACGTAATTTGCCTGTAGTAATAAAAAAATTACGATCATAAACTAGAAATATTCTGGGGAAAGGAAATATTGGTAAGCTTTATTCAGAGCTAAAAAGATATTGTATAACCGTTGAAGTACGATCTCTGTACAATCTTGATTCAATATCGGGAACCATACGCACAGCACCCATATACCTCCGAACTGCTTCCCACATATCGCCTCGTCTCTCGCAGTCTACACCTTCCAAGAACAGCTTTGTTGCCTCAAATCGTTTACCAATTTTTCTCTAATTTCCACACTCTATGATGAAATATTAATCTCTTAAAAAATATGAGATCCAGTCAATTTCAAAGCAAGCAAATAATTTACAATATACATAGCTTTATCCAACAACACACGTTTGACTGAAATATCAATCTTGCTAATCATTAAATGCATCGCAAAAACCTAGAGCAATCTAACTTGATAAAGTATTTTGAAGCTACAGCACTTATATCATACTTATAATTTCTGTACATATCGAATAAGCAAAGTTACAGCATCGTGCAGCAACTGCTCATGTCTGCTTCTAGTTTCCATTGATATCGTATTCGATTCCTTCAACCGAGAATCTAATTCTGACTTCCATTCCTTCCTAAACACTAAGAGAAAAAATTTCCAATGAACCGCCGTACAGAGAGATCCACCCCATCTCAACAGAATGACATAAAACCATCAATTTATGAATATAATAAAACAGTTCAGTTATTAAACGTATTGAAATTAAATTGATATCAAGTTAACCTGAAATTATATAGCGTTGTTTCAGCGGTGTTTTGAAAATATAGAACATCAGCCGATTTAGCGCGAGAATCATTACCTTTATCTCTTTCATCTTCTGCGAACAATGGGACCAAATTACTCTACAACAATAAATTGCTGAAAAAACAATGGAGAGAAGCAAAGTTCACCTATATAAAGGTAAACAACTGTGCATATCTCAGGGCAATCGAAGTTATGAAAGAAAAAGTAACCTCGGAATCAAAGTCATCCTCACTCGCTTCTCCATTCAAAACCTTCTGGCTCTCTGTTCCTCTCTCTTGTGACATTGTCCACCTAAAACCCAACACGATTCAAAGCGAAAACCACCAAATCAAACTTCATTATTTCTGAGTTCACAGAGTCTATATCACTGATAAGACTTTCCACATCTACAAGGAACAATAAAAATATAGGATAGATTTGCTCTGACATGTAGACTGTTAGCAAGAGAAGCTTTACTAGCAGGTTTCCTTAATAAGAGATTGAACTGTCGAAAGCACCCCTTGTACCAATTACTAATACATCTATGAAGTACACCAATCAATAATTTGTAAATTTAATGAAAATACTCTTTTGCTCAACACACCATTCATACAAAATCAGAACAGCTAATTGCATAATGGCCCCACCACCACAACATACTGTTGTCATCATAGTTACTTACCAACACTCCTTTTATCGCAAATCATCTACGAACCGCAAGTCCAGATAAGGTTTGCTAAATTGTCATACCGCTGGATGGCAAAATATGAAAAGCGATGTGATCGATATGAAAAAGCTAATCCTATCACTCCAAAATATTGGAACAAAATTGCCGCAATTGGTTACTTGACGCCGAATCTGTGGAAAGAATTACTTGGCTTAGTATGTTTGTTGATAGAGGAATTATGTTAATAGATTATTAACAGTCATCTTAATCATTCTATTTTGCATGGCATGTTGGCTCCTTATTCTCTCCTTTCTTTTCCTGCTCAAAAATTCCTATTTATCGACATTTCTTTGCTTTCTTTTATTAAAATAGCAAAGTTTTTGCCATTTATCGGTCATATCGTTTAATATAATTTCTGGTCACTACTGTTCCTACTAAAGTTCATACTTCTTTTAAGTTCTACATTTCATTTAGTCTTTATCTTGAATGCAATATATGTTTACATGGAAATGGTTAACTGGACTATGAATAGTTCATACCTACTAAAAGTCACGTTCGCTTAACATAAGAAAGACTGTTATATCCTTAATCTTATTCATTGCCAACTCCTTCCCCATAATTTTTTGAATCTTTAAATACAGAAATGTGTTATTGCTCAATACATCGATAAATTCACACATTTCGTCAGCTAGATATTTATAAGCTTATTTTTCTAGTGCTGGAAACTTATCAAGGTAAGTTTAATCTTTTGGTGAATGTTAAAGAAGGAAAAGCATAAAGTTCCTCAACATCTACAGCAAAGCTTTTTCTTATAACTGAACTTAATGCTAAAGAATTTGTATTTGTTCATCTATTATCAGGTGAATGTATAATTCGTTCGTTCAGATATTTTATCAGTGAGTCGTGTGGAGAGCATTTGACAATTCTTACCAACGAAAACTGCAAAGGGATGCTCATTAACCATTCGTTTGCATTAGACTCGATGCTTTCTTGCTTGCAGTTGTTATCAGTTTGTTTAGATCATACGGAATGATGTTTTAGTGCTTTATCAATCAGCCAATCCGTCTCGGTTACATGTCGCATAAACTCTGCTATCTTTCCTTGTTGGATAGTATGGGAATAGATAGCTCATAGAGACAGACTATTTCTCATTATTGTTCATCGCATTTCATTTTATGCTTTTATTATTCTAATTCTAAATCATACAATTTATACAGCAGTCGATTTTTTTTTTACTTCCAGCAAATACTTCACTTCTCAATACGTTAATTACTAAACCGAAATTTCATACCATTGTCTCTTCAACTGATGACTAGTGACTGGACAACATTAGCCATTCATATCTTACTAGTTTGCAATACGGGACCATTCGTTCGAGAATGTCTGCATCTGGTTGAGATCAATAAAGAGCAATTCAACATCATTGTCTTAACATCCATTGTTTTCAGTTGAAACAACAGGACACATTCTTCTATCAACTTCGAGATAGCAAGAAATGTCAATTAATTTATATGCGTAACAATATTTAGTGAACTGAACTTGCACAAACAGTGTGAATATCACCGATAGTAAGTGGAATATTGGATTGGAAACATCGGACTACCATTGAATTTTATGGAATCGAATTTAATATGTTTTATTATTGTTGATATGTGACATATGCAGATAAATAAGGTTGGAGAAATTCTGAGAAGATAGTACATTTCCGCTGTGATGATGTATATTTTCCACTTTTTTCTTTTTTTTTGTCCTTCTTGTAAAGAATTTCTTCTGCTTTCAATATTTCTTGATCCTTATTTGAAATGTCTTCCTGGAAAGCGAAGAAAAGTAAGGAAAATACATTGGCTGATGGAAAATTTGTTTATTTAGCTTCAAACAAAAATATCAGTATTAAATTTCGTCCTTTGTTTACTACAAAACTTTAATTACTCTATCATGAGATTAGATACGCATAATTTAGAACTAAATGTTATCTATTTTTGTTCTATAACAACATATTTAACAGGCTTCATAAAAGCGCTAATGCAGCTAATTTGTAGCAGTAATTGAAAACATTTACTGGCCAAAACTTAGAAATTTCTAGTGACATGTATCCAGAAGTATGGTTTACTTAGCGCATAAATATAGTTTACGGGAATGATTTTGTTTTGGATTAGATCCTTTAAAACTGTACGATCGTCGATACACTGATTTTAATATCGTATCGCTTACTTACTAGGCATTTCCAAGATTGTCTGGTTTATTGCTAAATCAATACTTATAATTAAATCCTAACGGTAAGGGCATATCCGAAATACGTCCGCCAATACCACCCTTAACTTAGGTAAAAATTTTCTACACGCAGATGCTGATACATTTGATCAAATCTCGTTAAGTTATCATCATTTACTGGTCATTTCAGTTATTATTATGTTGTCCAAGATTCCAAATGAGAAGCAAGTCCACGTAATACATCCACTTTATTTATGCAAAAATAAATATGAACTTTAAAAGTGAACGGGAAGAGTATGCTGGTATGTCCACTTTCCAAAACAGCTGAATTGCAAAATTCGACTAGTGAGGTGAAACTTGCTGAAAGAGGCATAATCATTGATTAACATCTACCTACATACTTTCTTCTATGTATGAGTGTGCAATTGTAAATGATGGGTCCGTGTCTTCAGACATGTTAAGCATGAGACAATGGTTGCTTTATGGATGACATTTCTCCCTGCAAGACCACCCATCCCTCTTCTGCCCTTCCTATCGTGCTTCTCACTTGCTAACCGGAATCATAGTCGTGAAAATATCGAACCGCTCCGATCACTGCCCCTCTCCCCCTAAACTACTTATATATTCCACTCATAACTGCCACTCCTATTTTTTCCTTTTTCAAACAGCGCTTTAAATGGATTGGCAGGAAGGTGCCATCTACTATCCTCATAAGGATGAGATTCTCAAGATCAGCCAATCTTCCTGTCTACTCTAACATTGGACTTTGTTACTGTACTTAGTATTCAAACTGTTTGGGCAGGTTACCTGATTAACAGCAGTAGCTATATTTTTTTATGTAAAGATTAAATACATAGATTTTTCGATTGCCCATGTCAGTATTCGTTACTTTAGATCAGATGTTTCCTATGAGAATGACAACTTTAAGCTAGTACCTAGTTTCCACTTGAAATTGATTATTACGTTGAAATATTTTAGCTTTTAATCTTCTATACTTCTGGAGTGAAAATTCCCCAACAATAATGAGATCGGTCTACATTAAATGACGCGTTGTAGTCAGTTGTCACTTAATATTCTAAAAATACTTTGACGACTTTATAATTTAGGCAATCTTGCTCCTTCACTACACTTGGACATATCGAATCAACTTTTCTTATTGAAATGTCTTAATGAATAAGTGATTCCAATACGTTTACACCGCACCTTGTTTCTCGAAATGAGCTTGCAGTGCTAGTTTTATGTTCTTCTTAATCTATGCGTTAATTAGATTTTCAGTATTTCAAATCTCCCGTCATGTTTAGTGTTGATTAATGCTGATTACCAATGAATAAAGAAAATTGTTTTAGGTACAGTAAGCATTATTTAACCTATACAGTACGCCTTATATACCAAAAAGATTTTTCGTAGCTGTGCATAGGAGGTCAGGACACTTGGAAACTAACGTTCATGCAAATGTTTTATACTTCAGCGAAATTCTTCGTAAACATTTCATTTTATTTCAACATATCTTCCTCTAGTTTTAAGAACTTTTTCGAATTGAACAAATCCTTCAGATGTTTCGTCCTGGTAGATTGCGAACTTGTGTGGGTGATAATATATATATCAAGGGACAAGTTCCATGCATCACAGAGAAGAGGAAGGAAGGTGTAGGTAATCATCATGCTATCTGATTTAGCATTGCTTCTAAATTGTTTCGAGAAGACACACTATGCTATTTGGCTTAAAGAACAAATGGTCATTTTGGGAAACAGGAACTGATCGTGGTCATTGCTATAGCGTTTTTCACAGTTCTCGTACATGAGGAGTCGAAGGGAGTCGAAAAATTACTTAGACCGCACCATCTCGTGCCATTTTTTATCGTCGCTCTACCTCCTTAGTGCACCATTTCCTTCACTTTTCATTGTACCGTATTCCTTCTTGTCGAAAAAGAGCGGAGTAAAGAATGGAGGAAGTAATGCATTCTTGCTGTGTCTTACATTTTTCTGAGTAAGGCAAGAGTTTGCTTGTCATTGGAATGGCGTCTTTATCTTTGGATAATTCCAACACAGTTTAGTTACCTGTGGTTTATAGCTAATCTGCAACTTTCAGCTTGGGGACATTTTAAAGCTTTTCTCTTTTAAATGTGATGTTACATTTCATAAATTCAAAAATCGATCTTATATTTCTCTATTTATTGTTTACACTCCTCCAGAACAGGAGAATATTTATTGAACTAGTTTGTCGAGACATTGCTATATGCATACAATTGTTTGACTAACGAATATAGAACGAACATTCATTAGTTGAGAAACGAATTGGATAAATCTTTCATAAAGTTGATGTAATATTTTAATGTTCCCAATACATTTCTTATGTCAAGATCTCAGGTCGTCTTTAACCATTATTCGAATTGTGTGCAGATGATTAGAAATTGCCAATTAAAATAGACTCAGTAGTACAAGGCACGAATTAGTTTTTCCGTTTTAGCAATTGCCGCCTTACTTATCATTACAACTACGAGCATACAAACATCAAACTTTTTCAAGTTTTTGTAGAAAATCGGGCTCAGACTTTTTTATTAGCACCCTATTCTTGTATAATGTAGGCTTCTAATTTGTTTTGAAAAAGATGATTAAGAATTCTGCAGAAGTAGTATTTGTGAGACAGGTAAATGAAAAATCGGCTATCTTTTTCGGAAATGTTTTGAAGCTGAAAATTCATTACTTTTCTAAGTATTTAAAAAACAAGCCATAAGATTTCGCATAGCTGAAAAAGGGTGGGAATGCTACCATATCTAAATAAGACTCCAAATCTTTTCCAGAAATGAATTTCAAGAAATCAGTTTCTGAAATTAGTGAAGAATATATTAAAATCAAATAAAAGCGAAATGTGCGAGGAAGTAAGCAAAATGACAAAAAACATGCATTTTTCTGTTTGCTTAAGAAGAATTGTATCTTTTTAGAGACGGCGCAAACGCTTTTTTGAGTTTTTTTTGAGTTAAATGTTTTTTTTTTGATTTACTTCATTTAAATTACAAAGATTTAAATGAGGAAATTATTGCCTCCACCAAAGCTTTTAGATTCTTAGGTCTAGTTATCAGAGGTGCAAGTTTACGATTTTTTACCGGTTCTCTTTATTTTTAGCACTTCCAAATCTCTGTATTACTTTACTCCTTTCCAATCCTTGTTTCTACTTTTCCAAACTGTACTCATTTCCCTACATTTCACACCTTGGTGATTTTCTATTCATTCGAGAAAGTATTTAGGAATGTCGAATGAAATTTTGGTGGTTTTCAGTAAAGGGAAGTTCTCAAAATAGCATGATTTCAGGAAATCCATTTTGGAATAAAAAGCATTAAAATTAGTTGATGCCATTAAAAAGGATATTTGCTTGATGGTATTTAAAAGGATATTTGAGGATTCAAGAAATCGGTAATACCTCAATCGAGATTTTGCCTTATTTCGTTTCGAACATATGACTTCTTAGAGACCACGAAATTCAGTTTTGGCTTCTCAGCCCGTATAAGATGTAACTTGAAGTGACGAATTCTGGAGGAGTCTTATCTCCTGTTACTACTAGATAAGAACTTTGCTTCAGATATCCATCACGTCATGCATCATGCAGCGACACGCAGACATACTAATAGTTAATAATAGCTTTCAAAAAGACGATTATATCAAGGGATTTAACGATTTGCTTTAAATCTTCCTACTGGATGGGTTGTGACTGTTTGGAAGCATTGATCTTGGCTAACTAATGTGATAATGTTTTCTAAGCTTACTTAAAGTCTCCAAGATTCCAAACCATTGTGTATCTACATGGGTTAACAAATACTTGAATCGTAATGAAGTCATCAGGCTGCTTTTCGGCAAAAAAAAAAATGGTTTCTGAGCGTTAAAACGAATCAGTTTTATAGCACTGGCACTATTTAAGTTGTTATATTGAGTTTTGGCATTATTCTGTATAATGAAGCAAGCTGTTCAGCTTTCCATTACATAGCAGTATTATTGATAGTTCGATAATTGTATACATACATGTCATTAATTGATCAACTTATTTATGGCCCTTTCCCGTTTTCGATTCAGCACCGAGAAATATCCCTCTATTAAATTTGTATGATATTTTAGTGATTAGTAATTATTATCAGTGGCTGAATTACTTGTTGTTAATTGATGTACTACTTATCTGATAGCGAAGATTGCGTCCACTTTCTGATAACTGAATGAAGTCAAAGATTGAAAGAGTTAAGCGTTAAACTTCTGTTAAGTAGCATTATCATATCTGTTTAATTTCGACAATTTCCAAAGAGCATTGTCTGCTGCTTCATACATGCTGCATACGTTTGATTTGTTGTGAGCAGTTCATTCGAACGAGTACCGTGTTGAGAGGTATCATTGGAAGATCTCGATGTGTTTTTCGTTTCCCTCATATATCCTGTCCTTTTCATTAATTTTGAATTCAAATTCGATTTCTACGACATATGCAATGTATCGATCTCTTCGGGGAAGACGTTCGTCTGCCTGCATGTTAAGTTGTGAGAAGTTAACGAATGATAGAAAAATAAGATAGTAAGTAGTAATAGAAGGAAAGAAAAGAAGGAGGACAAGAACTAAGAGAGACCGAGGAGAGTAGATTAGAAAGGAAATGGAAAAAGAGTGATATGCAGACAAGAGGGAGTGAAGTAGGAGTATAACTGTTGTCACCAATATTAAGTACTGGTGACAATGCCCCTTTTCTTGATGCCAGTCAGGTGATAGGTTTAAAATCTGGAATAGGACCCGATGGTTGAGCAGGCAGCGTTTTCCTGATTAAAGTAGAATCCAAGGGTCACTCGGATAACGTCCATATGATTTGGCTATTCATTTCTGTTCATTATTTTAAAATAGGTTTATCTTGCACTTCATATAATAATTTGATTTGATTTATTAAAAGTCTATTTCATATTTTTCTGCAACAACGAAAAACTTTTCTAGCATTAATGATTCATATTCTCCGTTATTTTCAGTTTTTCATTCCTTTTTAGATTTCCATACCAACCATCTTTTCCTAACTGTTCGTTCCAGAATGCTCCCAAAATAACTGGCAGAAAACATCGGTAGGAATGATTCAAGCCTTCAAGTATTTCATTTTCATATTGTCTCGTCCTTTCAAAATTTGAATCAATTCCCGTTGTCGAGTTTCAATTCCTTTTTTTCCCATTCCATTCTTTTCCCATCTCCACTTCATTTAATTGGACCTTTTTTTTAAAAAAAAAAACTATGTATTTTGAGAATCTAACAAATTTGAATTTAAAGTGCACATCAGGAAATCACTCCAAAAATCTGCATTATTATTCTCACATCCGTTTCTTTTTCGCGAAAAATGACGATAAGACGGGAAGAAATAAATTTGGTTTTGTTGTCATAGCTTTCTAATAAACATCCGAAAATAGTTTTTGCTGCATATCGTATCTTTCCAATGAAGCCTTCCTCTATGTATGCATTTATCCCACTGTTTTAGTCATTATATCCAATAATTTTAGTACTGGATGGATTTGGATGTAGCTTTACAAAGGACATCAGAAGATGAGGCAGAGAATCAATATGATGAAGTTTATCCGGGGCGAGTACTCAAGTAAGTGTTATTTTATTTCATCTTACTTTATTTCATCCTCACTTTCATACTTATTCCAATTTTGATTATAATTGAGATACCACAGCATAATCACATCCGATTCCTCCTAAGGTTAACTATTAAGATTTAGTTGAAAATAAAGAGAAACCGATTTATCCAAAAAACCTAAATTTCGAGTCCTTAAATTAAAAATTTTTTCTATAACTGCAGAAGCTTCATTTTTCGGACATCATTTCAAATCGGTTTCTCTTTTCTCTTCTAACTGTTTCTTGAGACGAGAAGTGTTTGGAAGATATTTAACTTATAGTTAATATCAAAAAATAAAGTTAGGGTTTTGTAAAACCAATGAAATGTACCGATAAAAAGGAGATTTGATAGTTAGAGTAATAAATGAATTACGTGATGCAACTCCTTAATGTTTTATCGAAGTACAGTTGAAATTCCTTTTTGTTCGGAGAACAAAGAAGTGATCGATTTGATGTTTTTTTTCTATTTATTTTGCAACGTGTTTTCTGTCACCGGAAAAAAGTTTGTAAAAAATTTAAATGTTTTGGGAATGTACGCTGCTGGAAGGAACTCTCTCCTCTATTCCTGATGTAATTTCGAACGTAATTTCGAACAAAAAGGAAATACTAAACTAACTTCACTGAGTTGAAGTGAAATGCTTATGCTGTAATTGAGTAACTCACTTTTGGAATTTCAGAGGTGAAGATACACCACGTAGCGCTAAAATCCGATACATGAGGGGATCTCGCGAACCAAAAACATTCGCACGTTACACTTCCAGTCTAAAGAATATGATACCCTTACGGCCGTTTCATAAGTAAATTTCTCCTAAATTAACAGTTGCTCTTTATAGCATTTTCAAATGGTATGATAAAGAAGTAAAATGAAAGCAATGTCCAGAAAAGCAAATTGAGCAAATTACACTTTTATTTTCTCATCGATATTAAATTATGATTTGTTTATGAATAGAAAATTATGAACTGCAGTTTTATTATTGGTAAATTACTTGAATATTATGCACGACCTAATTTCATGCAAACATTCGCAAGTTATTTACAGACACGAACGTTCAAGCGCGAGTAAAGTTGACGAGTCAGGCTTATTTTCATTTATAACCTTCAGCTGGATATTCCCATTTCTTTGGGCTGCTTTTAGAGGTCGTATAAGTCAAGATCAAGTGTGGAATTGCAGCATTTATGATGCATCTAGTGTTAATTTGGCAAGGTAGCCTTTGTTCCCAATACTGATTTTTCACTTTTTGTTAGGCGTTAGTTAAAGACAAAACGCTAATTCTTGACTTCATTTTCATCCTTTGCTTCTAATATTGTCACTTCTGTCAGTTTTATTAGTGGTGTTTCAGAATCAATCTTTACTTTCAAAAGCATTATTAAAAAAAAACGGACAACTTCATCAAATTTGGCCAGGATAAATTAAGTCAATCGATTTAAGATTTGAATATTTATGGAAGCAAGAACTTCTACAGCGACCCAACAGACCATCGCTTTTTCGAGTCGTGTGTCTGTTCATCAAGACGAGAATTTGTGTTGCTTGTTTCATCTTCGTATTTTGCCTGCTTTTTGGATTCATTGGTCCAGTGTGTTTTGTGAAAGAATTGATATCATTTGCTGAACAACCACCTCTTTTCAATATGTATCCCAATTTTGGTTTTGGCATTTTCTTGGCTTTTGCAATTCTTACAGTAAGCAAAATTTGAAACTTTGCTTTTTATAATTTCAGGCTGAAATTTACTGTAATTTCAACTGGAAGCTGTTTTCAAGTTATTTCGGTGCAGTTATGTTTATTTTCAACACTTGATTTTTTTTGTTTTACTCTGAAGATGGTTAGTTTTCTTCAAAATGGACTAAATTTATATTTTTTAGGTCGAAACAATACGAGTACTCTCATATGGAGCTACATGGGCTGTAAGTTACCGAACGGGTATCAGAGTTCGTGGAGCCTTACTAGCTTTACTATACAAACAATTGATCAGTGTGCGCTCACTGAGAACAAAAACTGGAGCAGAGGTTTGTATTAGTCCATATCCCTAGTAGTGGTAATTTTGGAAATCCCTTCAAAGGATCTTTACAAAATTAGTGTTGCTACCTCTAACAGATATTAGTTGACAAAGATAGTACACTGTTTCATCTTCTGATTTGTGGCTCATATACTTGCTTGGTCCATACCATTCTTTCTTACAGGGTGGTCTAGAATAATTAACTCTTTATGTGCACTTTGAATTCTGGTAAGACTTCATTATATCCGATCTCTTTTTTGATTTGTCTTTATTTTTCTCGGCGGATGTTTTTATATTTTTTACCAGGTGGTAAACATTTTTGCGAATGATGGACAACGTTTACTTGATGCAGTTTCATTTGCACCACTGGTATTGGTTGGACCTTTGGTGCTAATTGCTGGAATAATCTATCTTCTGGTTGTTATTGGGCCATGGTCATTGCTAGGAATACTCACATTTCTTGTTTTTGATGCCATACAGGTTGATGTTTAAAAAAATTTAAGTTTGTTAATTCCTTTCTCGAGCACATAATACTATTTGAGCAGATATAACTAGTTGTGGTGATAAATAGATTTTTTTTTCGTTTGGTTCCTTAATCTGTTATATCACTGATTCGATTTCTAGTTCGCACTTGGCAAAACATTGGTCCGCTTTCGAACTTCAGCAATTCAAAAAACTGAAAGACGGGTAAAACCTTATTTCTAAATTTGTACAAATATGGCATAATATGATTATTGAAAACCTAGAAGCGGAAGTTAAAGACGAAAAATCAGCATTTACCTTATCAATTTCATTTATACTTTATCCGGCTGTTTAGCTCGAATATAATTCAAACATAGACAAGTTGAATGCAGAAAGTGGAAAATAAGAATTTGTCTTTTGTGGTACACATAGTATTTTGATGAAAGTGATATAGTTTGAGATGCTAAACATTTTCTTACGCTTTGGTATGTATTACATTACGAAATGTTACAGCGAAGAACCCATCATCTAAAAAAATTAAAATTTTTATTAATCAGAAATTCACTTACTTTTTCAAAATGCTTATGTAACAGTTTTTCAGTTAAATTTATTGGGTGAAATAATTCGTTGCATCCGACTTATAAAGATGAATGCTTGGGAGGAATCGTTCACTACTAGAATAAAAGGTTGGTTTTTTGCTCAGCAGGTACCTTGCCTTTAGACTTTAATGGATTAGAAATTGGTATTTGTGGTATTTTGATGAGTCTCGTGGTAAACTTCTTGCTACGAAACCAAGGTAGAAAGTTTAGAATCTTATATGTTCATTCTGCAGTAAACAGCGAAGTATCTTCAGAAATGCGTCGCAGTGAAAAAATAGATTTGCGCAAAACAGGGCTGGCACAAAGTCTCACAATTGCATTTGGATCTGTGGTACCCGTGGTGGCAACAGTTTTCACTTTCCTTGGACTTATATTGTCAGGCGGAAATCTTCTGACTGGTGACGTAAGTTCATTTCGAAGAATTGTTTTGTCTTGTTCTCGACCTTAATCCATATATCTCTAAATCTCTTGACTTTTGTCTCTTGTATATCTCCAGTTACTTTTTATTTATTTTGTGTTTCACTATTTCAAATTAGTTCCAAATTCTAAAATCATTTCAAAAAATTAGTGGCACCTCAACATTCATCTAAATTGTTGTTTAAGGCATTTAGCACTATAACGGTATTCTTTATCATGGTGTTCGCCCTTCGGATGATTCCTTACGGAAGTCGTTATTGTGCCGAAGCATTTGCTTCATTGAAAAGAATACAAAATTTACTGCTCTATCCAGAATATGACCAACAAATCCCATTTTGCCGAGATGCAAACATCGCGATTCAGTTCAGAAACGCTACTTATCTTTGGGATGATAAAAGTAACTTTTGCGTGTGGTCTACTTGCACCTTTATATTTATTGTTCCAGTACACTGCGTTGTTATTTGATTTAATGTTACCAGTGCTTCAATCTTGATGATTCACGAATGATATAGTCTCGAGCTTTATTTTTTTCTTTCTTTTGGTGAAAGATTATAGAATTTAATCATGAAGGATATGGTAAGGTCAGGCAAATGAAATAGCATCAAGTTTGGAAGAAACGAGTAAAAGGAGTGCCGTTGTTGTTAATGAGCAAAACGATATTGATTCAGTAATTGCACTGAAAAACATTACCCTGGATGTGCGGAAGGTTATTTTTATAATTAATTCCCCTATTCTTGGGTGAAATGATTTATTTATTTTTTATTATATACTTATTTGAAAAACTGTATGTTTACTCGTCAGAGGGTTGGAGATTTTTAGTTAAAAAGGAGGAAATTCTTTGACGCTTGAAAAAGTAACATTAAGTTACATTTCCGTTAAAACACGGACATTTTGTTTCAGCCAAATGTAACGGGTTGCAATTCATATTAATGGTTATTCTAATTAAAGCTGAATATTGGGATTAAGGATGTTTGACAAGTTTTTTAGAAGAAGTATTTAATTTTAATTCTGTTGGCATTGTTGACTACAGTTTGGTAAAATGTTCCAGTTTTGTATGCCTTATTTCATATTTTGGTCCCTTCTGTTGTGCGCCCCACTGCATTACGAAATTTTTTACGACTGTGAGTAGGGTGATTAGTAAGGCAACTAATATTAGAAAAGAAAGATGCATATATCTGGGATAAATTCAGTAATTTCAGTGAGATAAAAATTCAATAAGATTTCGAATTTTTAAGTAATTTCTATCGCTATAAAGTTAATCTGAATTTTTAGAAGGAACTTTTGGGTATATGTGGTCCAGTGGGAAGTGGCAAAACAGCCTTGCTTACCGCCATTGTTGGTCATGTAAGTTCTTTTATTTTACAATAGACCATGGTAGTCAGATGCAGTTCTTATTCTTCACATATATCGTTTTTTTTTAAGCTAGTGCCAAAGGATGGTTCGTTAAATGTTTCGGGGCAAGCAGCGTTTATAACACAAACGCCATGGATTTTGAATCAAACAGTTCAGAGTAATATATTATTTGGTTTGCCAATGAACACAAGTCGGTATTACAAAGCCATCACAGTTTGTGAGCTCACTAAAGATTTGGAAACAATGAAAGCGGGTGACCAAACAGAGGTAATTGTTGAAATAAATGAACTAAAATGTACAAATATATAAGTTGGAAATTTGAGCATTTGGAGGATGTATTTTGTTTATGATTCATGGTTCATGATTGTTCATGATTCATGATTTAAAAAAAAAATTTTGTTCATGATTCAAAATTCATGTTCATGATTCAAAATCTTGTTGAATTTCATTTGTGTTGCATATTTTTCAGATCGGAGAACGAGGAGTGACAATATCAGGAGGACAGAAAGCTCGAATTTCACTGGCTAGGGCACTTTTTGCAAACTGTCGCATTTATCTTTTAGATGACATATTTGCATCGCTGGATCGGCAAGTCGCTGATCGTATTTTCAAGCATGCTGTGAAAGAAATGTTAGCAAACAGAACTGTTCTCATGGTTACTACAGATGTCCAAGTTAGTTTTGCAATTTTTATTTTCAAAGTTTTGCAGATTTACGCTTTTCTCACTCGGCTGGTTCATATTATGTGTTTCTTTGCTCACTCTCATTCTTCAAAGCCTATATTAGTAATACGTTTGCATTAATCAAGTTTCCAGTGATGTCATCTGTCTTCCAACAATATATTTTAGTATATTAAATATTTACACTCATCATTCATTCCTATTATTAAAATCACTTAAAAAAAAGATTTTTTTGAGAAAAAGTGATAAAAAAAATGACCACTAAAATAATTTACTGACTCCTAGCAATAAGTCAAACACGCAGTTAAAAAATTAAAGCTTGAAAATTTTTAAAGCTTTAAACGAAATTCAGTATGTAACAGAATAAAGAACTAAGTGTGAAACGTAGATTAAAAGGAATTCGATTTTCTACTTCATAAAATTTATTTTTATAATAATCACTTCAAACTCGTGGATTCTCAGTAGAATATCGAATCAGAATCACAGTTTTTGATGCCACTCTATTTTTAAGCGGTTGTCGAAATGTGATCGAGTTTGCTACATGGAAGGTGGAAGAATTAAGGCAGTAGGTACTCATGATGAACTGTTAGAGAAATGTGAAGCGTATGCTGTTTATTGCGAACGCTCCGTTTATACCGGTTAGTACTATTATCTTTACTCAAAAACTAAAAATTTAAAGCTCAAAATAAAATGCTTCTCTTTAAATCACTTTCTCATCTTTGTGAATTATTTTTTAGATGAAATCAAGTCGATATCGGAGACCGCAGAGGAACAACATGTCTTCGGAGATGGTTTTGTAAAGATAGATCTACCAGATGGAGCCGATGAATTTGTGAAAGTAGGAGCAAAAATATCGGACGAATTTGTAAATCTTACGAAGCCCGATGATGACGGTATTCAAAATTTCCTTATAAATTGCAAAGAATTTCCATTAGAAAAAGATTTCTGGAAAAGTGAAGCTTGGATTTTTGACAATGACTTAGTTTTTTAAATGATTTTAAAATTTATTCGAATAATCGTTCTGGTTCCCTTTCGTCCGTAGGAACAAAATGATTTTCGAAACTTTTCAAATAGAGCACAGGTTAGTCATATAATTTAGGTAGTTTCATCAACTTCTATTGCAAATTAATGAGTGTGCTCCTTTCTGAAGTTTACGTTTCGAGAAAGTTGCAGCAGCTTTCAGGACAATTGGTTATGGATGAAGAGAATTTCGGCTCGTCAACTGTATCCTGGGCGGTTTACAAGTAATTTTTTTTTTTAAAAATACTTTAATGGTATATTTTGAATTATTAACGTAGAAATTGAAATGTGAAGGTCCAGTCAAAAGATTTAATTTTGACATCTTGAATTTCTGGAGTAAGTATATGGTAGCTTAGGCAATACATCGATGCAGCTAATGGCCACTGGGTTTGGGTGGTATTACTGCTCGCATTTACTGGCAATGTAGTTGCCTCAATATTTTCTACTGCTTGGCTGTCACAATGGCTAAAATATGGACATTCACAGCAGGTAATCTCTGAATCGTTTTTTCAATGTTTCCGAAAGTTGGATTCTCAGCTAATTATCAAAAAAGAACCTCGAAATCTAAAAGTAACAATTATCTGTAGTGCAGCATGCCTAATTTATTTTCTTGACATTTATTTGTGGGTACCTAAACTTGATTTCAAATGGAATCTATCGAAGAAGGATGTTGCAGTGGTTGTATGACACTTTCCAGGTTGTGAATATCAGTGGAGAAACCTACATCGAATTCATTAGCATAGCAGAAAGCGAGTATACCAATTATTATGCCACCATCTATGGATTTTCTGTAATCATTTTGTTCGTTTCAGGCCTTCTGAAAGCTCTTATTTTTGTTCATGTGAGTTATTTTCATTTGTCTAGCGTTTTTGTTTTTTTCGATTTTCCCTTTTAAATCACGAATTATGAATTAGTTATGAGTGGAAAGCTCAGGTATCACTAAATGCCGCTTCACAACTACACAATAGAATGTTTGATAGCGTGATACGTGGCACAGTTCGTTTTTTCGATACAACACCAAGTGGACGGATTCTTAATCGATTTTCGAAAGATATGGATGAAAGTTTGTTCTTCGTATTTCTAACACATATACATCTTGAAATATTTATTAATAGCTGTCAAGTCTTAGTTCAGGGAATCGGAAATGGATATGATTCTCACGATTCACGAAAATGTGATAGTTAATCTTCGGTAACTTGCCAAGTGGATGAATTTGTAGGGTGTTGGCCGGGCGTGGGAGGGGAGTGTTAGAAATGTGGCGGATGCGGTTATTTGGCATTATTATTAATTAGCAGAAAAGTGATTTTTTTTTCCTTCGGTTTTACTCGTCCCGAAGAGGAAATTAACACTTGATTGAAATGCTATTGAAAGAAAAAATGTATATACTGAATAAATGCAAATTTCAGTTGACGTCAAGTTGCCATTCACGGCTGAAGTTTTCTTTCAAAATTCACTTACTTGTATGGGCTATCTGATTATGATCGCATGGGTTTTCCCATCATTCTTATTTCCATGCATATTTTTGTTCTCTGTTTTCGCTGTTTTCATATTATGTTTTCGAGCTGGCATCACAAGGTAATTGGTATTTCCAGCTGTCATCGTCAAGATGTGCCAAAGATTAGTCCAAAAATATTATTAATACAAGTATTCGTATTGGCTATTCTTGATATTATCAGACCAAATTCCGATGACACTTTTATTGTTCGTGACGTTAACATCACAATATTTGAACATGCACTGAACTTTTGCTAGAACAGGAATTCCAGCATTTCATAGTTTTTTTTTTGATTCCGAAATCTTTCAGTTTAAAACGGTTCGAAAATATATCACGTTCGCCACTGTTTGATCACATATCTGCAAGTATGGAAGGTATTCAAACTATTCACTCACTTGGCCAAACTGATAATTTTATTGAGACTTTAAAAAATAAGCTGGACTTGAATAGGTGCGTATTTTTCTAAATTGTATTTATTTGTTTTGTTTCAGTTAAAAATTACAACAGTAAAATTTTAATCCCTTTACTTGCGTTAAATTTAAGATTTTTGAGCACTTGGCATTTTTTTTTCTCTCTGAACTGACCAATTTGTTTTTAAATTCGATTTTTTAATTCCTTTAAAGTGGAGCTATGTTCATGTATCAGTCAGCAATGCGTTGGTTAGCTGTGTGGTTGGATTTACTTGTTGTTGCCATCACTTTCATTGTGGCATTACTAATTGTTATGCTGACCGGAAGTATAGCACCAACAGATGCTGGAATGGCACTTGTTTTTGCACTACAGGTAGTAAAATTTTCTGTGATGTGGAATGGACCTTATGAATTACTGTGAAGTAGTTAGGGTAAATCATTGGTCCTCAAATGCTCCAGTATTTAACTGAGTGGAAACTTTTCGTGGAACAACAACAAAGTTTGGTCTTTATAAGTGTTATTTCAATGCACCGGATACATAATAATGCGAAACTATTCCTCTTCTATTTGGAAAATGATAAAAATTTCGGTATTTGTAGATGAGTGGTATCTTTCAATTTGCGGTGCGCACACAAACAGAGCTCGAGGCAAAAATGACATGCGTTGAACGCGTTATTTATTACAGCGATGTTAGTACCATCATGCAGTTTGATTTTTTATGATTTTACGATACATTTTCTTATTGTAGGACTTATGGATGAAATTAACTACATAATAATTGCTTAATGCATGTAAGTATTCAACAGAAATGGTCTAATATATCTCTTTGCTTCGAATCAATTTTTTTTTCATTTGGGAAGAGTTATCTTGCATTTTATGCCATGAATTCGATACTGTTTAAATTCGGTCAAGTAAGGCAAGGTCTTAGTTTCATCAACTATTATTACATATCTGTATAACTCATTACATTTAAGTGGTGACGTTAATGTAGAAATCGCATTAATCGTTCAGATTATGAATAAGTTAAAATGAGACACCAATCGATATTTTTATTCTCCGCACATTTCTGTAATTTTTTTCCATACGTTTGTATTATGAGTTTATAAACAGCACATTTTTATTCCAGCACATCGAGCCGGAAGATCATTGGAAAAATGGAAGGGATGATTCTTTCTTTTCAAATGATTGTCCTGTAGAAGGACCCATTGTTTTCAGAGGAGTTACGTAAGTTTTGTTTAAAGTTTTTACTCTATAATTGTTTGCTTTTGTTTCGTGTTTCCTTATTTTCATATTTCTAATTTTCGGAACTTTCTTTTTTTAATGTTATAGGTCTCTGGTTCCAAAATTCAAAATAGCTAATTTTTCAGGTTACGTTATGGCCCTAGTTTGCCGCTAGCGCTTGATGAAGTCAGTTTTAAGATTGAACCAAAGGAAAAGATAGGAATTATCGGACGCACTGGATCAGGTGAGTAAGATAATTATGAGTGGGTAAAGATTCATGTTGTGTTTCTGAGTCATCTTAAATTCCAGTACATCTGATGTCATCTGCGAAATGTTTCTTGGAATTATGTAATTCATATAAGCGAAAAATTTCCTAGTAGTCAATGTTAAGCTTATATTTAATCTTCCTCTTGCCTACATTTTTCTAATAGGGTAAAGTTATGCAGTGTTTATCAAATAGCTCTTACTTTTTTTTTCACAATTTATGCAGGGAAAACATCGCTCTGTAATGTCCTCTATCGATTGTATCCGCTGACATCGGGCACTATTGAAATCGGTGGTATCAATACAGCATCTATTGGGCTTTATCGGTTGCGTCGAGCTATGGCAGTGATTCCACAGGACCCAATGCTTTTTGCTGGTACAATCCGGTTTAATGTTGACCCAAATAATGAATTTACTGATGACCAAATTTGGATGTCTCTCGAAAAAACTTATTTAAAAGATATGGTATGGTTTTTAAAGCAAAAATTTCTTCAATAACATTTTTATGTTTGAAGGTTCTGGATTTTAGTTTGCCATTATATGACTCAGTGTTACACTAACGAATGAGCGTATTCCCAAACAAATCACTGATTTTTACATTTTTAGCCAAAGTATTTGTAGTTCTCTTATTCAGGTATCTTCATTAGATCAGAAACTGAATTCACTTGTCACTGAAGGTGGACGTAATATATCAGTTGGTGAACGACAATTGTTCTGTATGGCAAGAGCTTTGCTGAGGTCATTCAGTTTGGAAAGTTTTTTTAATTATGTACCTTAGGAAAACGATGAGTAAAGTGATATTTCTGGCTAGATTTTATGTGTTTTGAAATATTTGATAAAGTTTCTAAATAATTGATTCAGACGGGTGCGGATCGTGGTACTGGACGAGGCAACAGGTAGCCTAGATAATGCCACAGACCGACACATTCAAAAATGCTTGCGTGAAGCATTTGTCGATTGTACCGTTATGATAATTGCTCATCGTTTGGAAAATGTTTTGGGCTTGGACAAAATTCTTCATATGAAGCAAGGAAAGGTAGATATTTATTTTAAAGCTAGCTAAGTGAGTTAAACAGATTTATCGTGAGCCATTAATTGGCAAAAGTTAAGCAGTAAATTTGGGAACTTTTGCAGTAATTTTGATGTCTAAAAATCATTGTTTCTATTTTTAGTACAAAATGATATTTAAAATTTTCTGAAGAAAATAGATAAGTGCGTTGGATTTATCTTAGGTCGTGGAATACGATACAATACAGAACCTAATAAAGGATGAGAATCATCCTCTGCGACGTTTATTGGATGATCAGAAACTGCGACAAGCAATAGCTGTGCAGAAAGACCGAAGTATGAATAAAATGGCAGAAAATCCGGAAGGGACATCAAAACCATCAACAAATGGAAGCAGTGGAAGTAGTCCTGAACATCTCCATCCAACTTTTGCTGAGGCTTCTGGTAAGACTTCTCCGGAAACATCAGAATTTGAAAAGATTAGTGATAGCATTGATAAAGAAATAACCGCTATGAGCAATGATAATAGTGACCTCGAAGTTATCAATAAGTCGGATGTCGAGTCAAATTATTAAATATGTTCCGAATATCTTTTTATGTATGTCTGCTTTTATGTATGCATACATGTGTGAGTGTGTGTACTTGGCCGTGTGAGTATGGATAATGTACCATCTAATCTTCTTTTAATTCAAAAAATATTTTGAAGTATGTGAAGATGCCAGACACATGTGTTAATCCCACAATTTAATTTCTTGAGTAAAATTTTCGATTTGTTGACCACCGCACCACATTTATTTTTTAATGACTCTTCGGTTAATGATAATTGACCTTACATTTTTTATCCAGTCGTATCTTTACCCCATTTACTTGCCGTTTTTGTAGATAGTTTTCGTTGCTTTTGTGATTTTTGAAGCTAAGCTGCTCAAGATAATCCATTTATGAATTCATTTCGGCTTACACTTCTATGTCTTCAAAACCAGTTGTTTTGGGGATCCTCGTTTTCCCAATTCCTTTAAAGTTTTATACTGACGTCTAAAACTTTGCTAAACTTTTGCTAAAAATTTCCCATTTCTTGGGAAAATCAATAACACAAGAGTTAGCAATACCTGCCATAACAAAGAGAATCTTGGTATTGTTAATTTCCCATATGTATGTGGTTAAACCATTTATGGGAAAAATAGCAATCTAGCTGACTCCATGTTTGGATGAATTTTTGGAGTTCCTTTCATGGTTTTTCTAAAGTGAATCCATCTCTCTCTTTTGAAATAATTGTTTTTTTTCAGCTGGAAGCTGTGCATTAAGTACAGCCCTATTTTTAACATTCAGACATTTGTCAAGATTAGGAAAGGACTAAGGTAGTTCGGCCGCTGATCGTAAAATATGCTAACTGCCTGTAATAATATTTGTACTATCAAGGGGGGTAGTTTTATTTAAATACTTTAAGAGCAAAAATAATTAGGTTGTTTTCCATAATATTTTTATCTCAGTTCCCATAGCTCGTTATTCTCTAATTCGTTAAGGAATGTACGCACTAACTTTTTGCATTTTCTGAGTATTTTGAAATGTTAAAAAAAAAAAAAGAAACAGTAACCGCTTGTTTCTTCGTCAATGCGGGAACACCTTTTCTGATTTGATCAAATCTTACTTCCCCTTGACCACTTTTTAAATTTCCAATTATTTATTATGGGAAGAAAAAAACAAAAAAATCGTAATTATTTAACATGCATTTCACCTTACCAACGGTAGATTTTACTTTGGAGCAACTCCAGCCTTTTAGTATAAAATACTTATAACTTTATCCTTGGAACCCATTAAATGATTTACCAAGAAGATCCCATGAAACTGTTTACGAAAAACTTTACTAATGATTAGTCATCTCTTTCCCATACTAATATCTCTGACGTTTCAACGTTTCTCTGACTTTATTTCTGACGATCCCGAGAGGGATTTGAATAACTTCTCGTTAGGTTTGATGCGGCGATGCCAATGCTTTCGATATCGAGATTGGTCCTCTCCTATGTTTTTAGGATACCTTTAATATGTTAATTTCACTTCATTACCTTTTGCTAGTGCATACATGCTTAGTCCAGATCGAAATTCATCGGAATAGATGAGCCTAGAAAAGAACATTAGTAGAGGTAGAATTTGCACGCATTTTGTCCTGAACTCGTTGTCTTTTCTCTCTACGGCATAAATAAAAGATAGGGGAAAAATACAATAAACACATCACTTAAACATTACTATCTGTTGAGCAGATCGAATAATTCCAAATTAAATTTCAATATGGTAAGAAATGAGACAACACAATCAGAAAAATTCGAACTGAGGAACTAAATTCGATTTCAAATGCATCGAAAATACACATATTCTCGTATTAACAGCACTTAATGTTCTCTCCAAAAAAGAGATGAACTACATGCATTTGAATTTCAAAACTATGGCATATATGAAAGAAGAGCATTGTTGAGTGACAATATCGGTGGTAACTAAAATCGATGCTCGTCGCCTCTATAAGCGATATTAATTGGAAACAGGTATATTTTTTCGAGGACTGTCAATAAATGACGAAGAATCGAGAATAGTTCAAGCATACGCAAAAACTAAGTGTTAGTCATATGGAGAATTCGATCGGTATAGTGAGTCAAATGATATATCTGTTCAATGTCACTTGGAAAAAATATCGAAATTATCAGAAAATTCAACGATACTTATAAAAGCTTTCCTTTTGACAGCTGTTAAACTGGGGTAGAGGATGAAAGCAAACATAAGACCTACTCTATTCTTGCAAGGTGTCTAAATGAAAGTTACGTAGTAGATCAACACTACCTGCTTTTCGCAAACAAGAGAATGCTTGATGATGGAGCCACCTTAACAAACAAATTTAAAGAATTTGGAATCTACAGAAGCCCAGCAAATGAAATAAATGAAAACGAGTAGTAGTGCAGCATTGTTGAAACAGAAACAAAATGGCTACAAAAAAATGACGCATTTTCAAACGCTTCTAAAGTCAACTCTTCTGACCGGATCTACTTCAGGATGCCATAGATCCACTCTAAGTATCAATCGATATTTGTTTGCGGATGCGCCTTCGAACCACAATTCCTGCTCAAAGGAATCATCGAAAACAAGGAAACGACCCGTTTTCCAACCTCGGACTTCATGTCCTACTCGCAGTCTAGCTTCTGCAAAAGAACCTGGATAACTTTAATAAACCTTATGATTTCGAAAAAATTTGTTAAACTGTAGGAAATAAACAGAACTTAAGCGAATACAACAACCAGGGTGACATACCAGACGATATTGTAAGACCGAGGTGAGCCTGTAGGCGATAATTGGAGTATCCACAGTGTGGCCACACTCGGGTGCCACTTGCTAGAAGTGAAAACTTTATCTGTAAAGGAGAAATCTTCAGAGTAACGATCCTCAATCGAGTGAAAAAGACTTTGAAATCACAACTTTTTTTCTTGATCTTTCTACTGGAAGACCCACCACAAAAACAGTCTGCATGTGAGAGGGAAATTAACTTTTACGACCACTCGTGAAACAATAAAAATACCAAAAGACGCAAGATACCAAAAGATTGAAGCTCTCACAATAAGCTTCAGTAATCAGGAAATGTTTATGACAGAATCCTATAATTTCTACCATTTTATGCATTTAGTGACTGAGTGGATAATCAATGAATCTTTTTCAACACTCACCTCGCTGTTTAAGCAATCGGATGAATCCTTGAACATACGCATAATATTACATGTTTTTGGCGTTTTTAAACAATTTGATGCGTTCCATGAATTACTGCTATACAAAGAGTACGCTGACCACTGTCCATCTATAGTTAGCTCTTCATGTTCTGGTTCGAATAAATACGGCTGACTGTTCAGTATTGCCGCCGCTTCTTCCCTAATTACCGTCCACTGTCTTTCGATTTTCTGAAAATAAAATAACATATTTGTTTCAAATATTCCTGAATACCACTAAACTCATTTTAAATAATCTTCACAACAATATACGTATTAAAGGAAGTAAAACTCCATTTTTCATTTTTTTCAGGTTTGTATTTCTTTTTTTTAAGAGAATCTTAAAATTGCCACTTGATTTCCACTATCAAATATACTGCAGTATTCAAAAATTATATAAAAAGAAAAAAAATTTGCTCACACTAACTAAAACAAAAATGTTTTACTTTTTCACAAATCATAAATGCCCTTGTGAGGCAACCTAAAAAAACTACCTTCAGATGTTTTGAACAAAAAGTTTGTTCAACAGACCACCAAGGACGGGCAGTTAAACCTTCGACGTTGTAAACAGATCGCTGATAAGGAGAAGGAAAAAGACCGACTTTTGCTCCAATACTATACACTCGATAAGCCTTAAAATACTTTAGAATTACAGAAAGAAAGCGCAAAAATAAGATTATTTGTCGCATAGTGCTTCTATAAACTGAAAAAAAGTTTCGAAATCTTTTGGACTTTCGTGCTGGTTCAAAAGTAAGTAAGCAAAAGAAGAATGCCATCTTTTTTGAAGTAAGCCAGCCTACCTCCTGTCTCTTACCCAGTCGCGTTAGAGCTTCGCCGAAATGATAATAAAATCTGAAAGTGAAAGAGAAAAATATATTATACAAATTTCAAAATGAACAGTCGGGAGTCTTTCATTACTTTTCTTCTACACTTCAGTAATCTTAATGGTGTGTCTTTGAAAATGTGACTTTATTTGATAAACGAAAATGGGGAAATGAGAAGCATGAAGCATGAAAGCATGAAGTCAGAAGCATGAAGTGATCTCAGTCATCGTGTGACGTGGTAGGGATAGCTGACAGCTTGATAAAATAAAGATTTGATAAATGAGCAGAAAAGGAAAACCTCGGATCGGCAATTACTTCACGAATAGCACGCAAACCTTTGCGCATATATAGCACGCCATTTTCCAGATCACCGCTCAATTTCAAAATATAACCAAAATATGCCTGGGCGACACCATTGGTTGGTGAAATTTTTAAAACCTACAAAATTTTTAAAAATATTAAAAGGATGAAATTAAATAATTTCGATTTATCGCTGATCACGTGTTGCGATAGAGATCTCGAAAAAAAAAAAAAAGAAATGATCAACTCGCATTTTCAAATATCCTTCGTGCATCGTCTTCACGTCCCATCATTAGGAAGGTTAATCCTTGGTTATTGTGTAGCTGTAAATCATCCGGATATCGATCGATCAAAGAACGTTGCGCTTGTAATACACGATGCAATAAACCGCGAAACCTGGCCCGATCGATCAAGCGATTTGCTGCTTGACTGGAAAAAATTAAGGACAGTACTGGGATGTCAATAACTAATGCTAGAAGTCAAATAGTTTAATGACAATTATGAGCTGCTTACAAGACACGCTGTTTACATAAAAAGGCGATATCTCAATTTGTGACAGTTATTTGTAAGGCTTCGAAAGATTCCTTTCTTTCCCATCCCACTCCTTTCTAACTTACATTTGAAAATTATTAATAGGAAATTACCTTTAACAATTCCGAACGAAATCTAAGATATCTTGGAATCTGAATCTACTCAGAATCAGAATTAACAACTATGACTTCATACAAAGCACAAAATTTACTTGAACAACGCATCTGGGGTATCATCAATGTCTAGCACTTCTTGGTATTCATTGATCGCTATATCCAGATATGAATGATCTGATTCAATTTCGCTTCTGATGTCATTCGCTCGAGCGATACCGAAATGCGCTCGGGGACTGTCTGGATTATCCCGTAAAACAGTCTCGAAAATGGCAATTGCGGAATGATAATCATGCTAAAAGTGCTGTTCCATGAATTAATCGCATATTCATATGAATCTTTTTTTCGTTTCAGTGCTGATCCTAGATAACATTTCCTTTCTGATGTTCATGGATTAAATTTCATGGGATAAATCTTCAATGTGTCCTAGCCTGAATTTAATTAGATATTCCAAAATATGACACGGTCAATTAGTATCCTAGCTTTAATACTTTATTTCTTGCTAAAGCTACGTTTCTCCTAATGTTTCTTAATTTATTTCGCATATTTTCAGATGTCCTATCTGATCAAACTAAGAAAACAATGATAGACAATTCTAAATACTAAAAAACTGAAATATTGAGCAGAAAGTTTTGACATCGACGACATAAGAAATTAATAAGCTTAGTTCCCGGGCTAAAATCGAAAGAAATTATAAATCACAGTTCAGACTCCATCCTAAAATACAACATTTGTACATCATCAGCAGTTCATCTTAATAAGAGGGTATTCATCTGTACACAGTCTTTAAAGAAATGAACCAAAGTGTTCGATCTAAATTAGTTGAAGTGTTATGCTCCGACATCATTTTGAAATGAAATATGGGTTAATTTACTTCAAAATTATGTGAGTCCATTTATTAGTAGTCCGTGTAGAAGAGAGAAATAAGTAAATAATTGTGAAGGAAAATGAATCAATATATTAGGTTTAATCTTTCACTTTTAATCTTCTTTTGAAGATGTGTTAGGTGTGGTAGCAGTGTTAGTTAGTAGTGCTAAAATAACAGTACTCCACTCAATAAACGACAATTGCAACCATAAGGTTTTATTGCAGAGAACAAGGAACTTTCGTGTATGCATACACGAATAAGAGAAGAAAATGCATGAAAATTATATTTAAATTAAAAAAATGAAATGGAAACAATAATCGAAATTTAACTGAACCATTCTCTCACTTAAACAAATTTCAAACATTTTAAATTACAAGTAATTATTAAAAATGGGATGTAAAATTGACAGACGGAGATTAATTGTAATAGATCTTAACTTCTCATCGATAATCTATTCAATCATGCATATCTTTTAACAAACAAATAAAAAACACGACATGAAATGCCTAATTACTAGAGCTGTCAAGGATAAAACGATATTTTTATATTTTAAAATAATCCAAACAACGAGAATATTTTATTCATCAAAAGATTTGAGCCAAAAATATTATGCACAGCATGTTTACCAATTTCAGTCAACTCATAAAATAACGACAACTGCTAATGCAGAATGGACTATGAACAACTGCTAATAACGAGAAAAGATTTTTGCATGACAAAATATTACTACAGTTAGAAATATATGAATTAAAGTTATGCATTTAAGCTTAATCGGTTCATAACACATGCATTTAATAAAAGAGAAAGCAAACTGAGCAGATAAATTGGATTTCATCTCAATCCTGGCTGTATTAAGGAATAATAACAGTACGGTAATGATGATATATATATATATATTCCTGAGTCACTAGGTGAACCGAGAAGATAATACATAGAATGCTCAGATCTATTCGAAGAGAGGAAGGATTGTTAAACAAGAATTGATATAATTTTCCCTGTCTGAAGCATAGTAAATTCATCAATTGCAAATTAATTTTATTTTATTTTCATTTACGTTTATATTTTTTACTGACCTTTTCAACGAGATAATCTGCACGATCCAATTGATTTCGATACTTGTGATCATCACGATTTGTTATAGCATGGCGTTTATAAATAGTCCTATCATTCAACCTACGATAAATCATTGATCAATACTTGAAAAATAAAAAAAATTAAAAAGAATTTTGTCCAATATTAGTGATGATAACCGCGATCTGATGGAGAATTATGTTGTCTGAAGTGATAAACTTGCTTAATTCATCCTTTATTACACTAAAATACGCGTTTCAGAAGACTGTCAAATGCTTTATAGCCATATTGGTAGGCAGAGCTCTCTCAAAAAACAGGCGAAAATTTTACGATGTGCAATTACACTTCGTTATTATAAATTGTAAAATGAAAAATAAACCGTAAACTTCTAGAATAAAATATAGACCGTTCGATGTTTTTGATAAAGACTGTATTTTGTTGTTAATTTCTTGCAACTGCACTTTAATTTGTTTACTTTTTTATCAAAAGTATAATTTTAGGCATGACAACCGATATCACACCTTGTTCTTTTAATATCAAAAGTTTTTTTCAGGCTATAGTAAACCCATTCATATACTTCGAAATAGTTCAGAAAATGGTAATCAAAGGATTCAAAAAGAAGAATTGAGAAAATAAACAAACTTCTCTTTTCTAACAGCAGCTAAATCACGGATGCTTGCATCATCAAGTTCTTCGTCATCAATCTCTTCACTTTCTTGTTCTTCATCTGTATCCTTCCATTCTTCCCTTTCCTCATCATCTTCTGTTAATTTGAAAGCAGGCGGTGAATGCTGTTTATTACGATTTGACATGGAAAGCTAAAAAAAGAAAAAAAAAAAAAAAGAGCTACTCACAGTTTATGGATAAACCATAAATTATTTTTCCTTAACCTTTATCAATTATTCGTTGTAATCAAGGCTCTTACATCAAACTAAGGTTTCACTCTACCCTTTAGGTGCTGTCTTATTCTAAATAATTTGATTAAAATGTGTGATGCAAAATAACATTGAAGTAAAACATACAGGTATTTGTTTTAAAAGTGACATTCGTGGATGACGGTCATACTCAGGTAAGCATTTCTTGCGCTTACATTCCTATAAAAAAAAAAAAAAAAAAACATGTTTTGTAATGAAGGACCCTGAAGTTAACATATAATTCGAGCTGGTACTTTTCAATAAATTTTCAAGTCAACTTATAGTTGCACGTAAAACTGACAGTACGAATTTATAATCCTTTAATATATCATATTTTCGCCAAATTTTTCTTTTCACTGACAGAAATGTAAAACGAAATATAAATTACACTTCGCTTCGGTTTTTCCATACTAAAAGATGGGATTTTTCTTCTTGACTTAAGTCCCGACTTCTTCTCTGCATCATGCTTATTTTTACTCTCTTCCTCTTCATTCTCCACTGTCTTCTCCTCTTTCTGGAATTCAGTACTTTCAATGCAGAATGTTTTAGAAAACTAAAGCCGATATCCCCGCCATCTTACTTCACCGATTAACAACTGTGCTATTCATAAATCTCCAAAAAAACTTACTTCACGTCCTACACTATCTTGAATTTGGATTTCCCCGTCTGTTCCTTCTTCTTTCTGTTCCTCTCCTTTCTCTTTCTCAAATTTCTCAATCATCTTTCTTTCTTCCTCCTCTTCATCGTCTTCCACAACTTCGATGCGTTTACGATGAACCTAGCAGAATACGTGTATTCAACGATCAATATACCTTTAATAATCAAATGGGATACTTAAGATTATATTATTCATACCTTTACTCGTTTTGGCTTGTTTTGTTCTTCATCTTGCTTTCCTCTTGCTTTATCATCCTCCTTCACATGTCCATCTGCCGTTCGTTCAGATATCTAAAAGACACGTGTCATGATTAAAACTCAATTACTTAGTTATTCAAGCTATAACCAATTTCAGCTATCAAACAAAAATAATAATAGGAAGAGAATAGTAGAAACATTAACATCAAATTTATCAATATCATTATCATTGCTATCGCCAATATCGCCAATAATATTGTCACTATCATCACGCTCAACATTCTCAATTGTCTCATCCAACGATTTGTTGTTTTTTCGTTCAGCTTTAGCTCGAAGATCAGCCAGACGGGCTTCTTCTTCTTCTTCCAACTCTTCTTCCTCTAATCTATCATCGTCAGCTGTAAAATTGATAATTCTGAATTTCGAATTTCAGCGTTTTGTTCGAAATAGTTGAACAAACTTTATTATACAAAGGTTAACTATACGCAATAACGCGAAATTCTGACTTATGAATCGATTTGACTCCATTCACTATCTAATTCAAAAAAGCATCAACTGTATTTTAGCTATTAAAACATTAAAAACTGGGAATTAAATTATAATGTGTGGTTAAAGTGCGTGTAAATATCATGTTTAAAAGCATAGAGCTAAGAAGAAATACTTGAATCCGGAGCATCCTGAATTCCTTGATGAGCTTTTCGGTTTTCTTCAAATGTTCTAGACCGTGATATGTACTCTCGTGATGGAGTGGTGTCTTTTTCGGTTCTTCGATTATGTATCGCCATTTCATCTGCGTCATCATCAATGTCACCATCATAATCCAAGTTTTCGTCGCCATCGATTTCTACGAATGAATTTTAGGTTGTTTCTCGTAATATAATAAGTATTCGCATAATAGTTGTGGGAAACTAATATCCGATAGTATCTATTATGTATGTTAAAAAGGTTTTTCTTGGCTTACTTAATCTTTTTAATTTATAGTTGTTGAAGGGAATAGAAGAGGAAAGAATTAAGAAGAAAGGATGTTTGTGATCAAGTTTCTATTCTTCATTATACAATATATATTTAACATTTAATGTTATAGTAGTGCTATATACAAAATTTAGTTGTTTACAACTCAAAATAAATTACCGAACGCTACTTCTGCTGATTCCATGGTAGAAAACAAAGTGTAAAAACTGGAGCAAAGGATAACGAATACCAATAGCACAGCCCAAAGTCTCAGACCACCTTTCGTTACACTATAGTCTACCCTGCTAGGCGCAACCATAACCGCCATCGGCGCAACATATCCTGCGCCATTTACTGAAAATTTATGCCTTATTTGAAAATTTGAATTTCAAAGTGATTTACCTTATTCTAATTAACTCTTCCAATGCTGCCTCTTACATTCATATCCAAAAACGAACTTAAAGAGGGCAGCGTTACCATATACTTTTCCTATACAATTAAATTAAGTACATCATATGCCTAAAGTAATCGCATATTTGAATTTTAATAATTGGTTATTGAATTAATTCAGCATATTTTAGTGAGCATTCAGGACAAATTTAGTAGTAATAAAATAAAGTGACAAGCATTTTGTGTTCTGCAAATGGCTTCATTTATTAAATCTAGTTGACGAATGACCTCATTAACTTATAGAATCATATCCTTAGCACTTTTTGAAAAAAAGTTGAAACCTCGTTGATGTAGGCTTAATGTGGACGAAAGTTCTAAAATTTCAATAAGTCAAATAAAAAAAAAAAAGGTGCACCGTGTTTTACGATTTTATAATTTTTACAAGAAATTCTTTCCTCAAAACTGAGAGTGACGAAGATATCAAAAATGTTTACCCATTATTACAAAAACACCTGCTTCCTATTGGATCGCTCAGCAGCGTAAACTGGTGACTTCTCCTAATGAGAATAAGATGACAGAAGAAGACGTACGAATGAGCTAGAAATAATTGTCATATAATGTGACTGTCAGTAAGAGATTTAATTTTTCTAACTTGACTGCACTACCACAACCTGAAGTTAAATACTATTTATTACCATGTGGCAATTACATAGTACCAAATCATTGAAATGATTTCCGTTTTGCATAGGTCAAATTAGAATGAAGTATATTTCACAGTATCTATTCTGTGTTATGAATCACAAACATTCTCAAACTGTTTTCTAAATTATGAAAAGCATTAAACTTTCTTAATAAAAAATGGGAAAATTTTCCAAGTACAGGATCGGAGAAATATAATTTACATGAGTCAGCAGGAGGAGGTGTAGGTTGACATTTCTAAAGGTGATAAGCAGATAAGTTGTGGGTACATGATAACAACAAATGTTACACTTCCACACTTTCTTAAGGTATATTGAAAAATAAAATTGTGGAAGGGGAGAAAAGATAGACATGAGAATTTTAAGATAGAAAAAGAAGATATCCGTGAAGAGCTTGTTGAAAGGATTCATTCAGTAAGTTAGTCGACACAGTCTCACATACAAATGCACACACACATATACACACACACATACACACAGACACAGACAGACACACAGACAGGACTAGTATCATATCATCTCGTATGCAGTTTAGATCCCAAAAACCGTGGAAAAACACCTCAGGGATGTGTGTATCAGTCTAAGTAGCATCTACTGATACTACATCTACTGCAGTAATAAAGGCTAATTCTTTTTACTGTGACAATTGTTTCATCTATTTATTTAATTTAATTTAACTTCATCAACCATCTGATCTCTAGTTAAGATTCTGAATCCATTCCTTGCAACAAAAACAAAACTGAGATTAATCTGATGATCACTTCATACTGTCCTCTTTCCTTCCCCTCTCATCATTTTAATTTTGACCTAAACTGATAACTGATCTAATTATTGCATTTATCACACTTAAAACTATTAGTTATGTTATTTAAAGATTTAATTATCTAACTATAATTATGGTATTTGGTACAATTATAGCCTCATTAATTAATTATAATTATGGTATTTTAGCCTTAACTTTACTCTTATGGCAGTGAAACTTTTTCGGAGAAATCCAAACAATTTTACAAACAGTATCAATGTGTATCAAAATCAAGACAAAATAATTTACTGTTCATAGATGGTTGACGTCTAAATTGAAGCCTGAGCTGCGCTTGCCTGCTGTTATTCATCAATATTGCATCACCACTAGACTGTTACGGGAATTCTCGGTTGAAGTGCTGCTGCAGGAATAGACTCGAATTTCCGATGTGATCAATAAAAATTGCACCTTATTTTCGAGATAAATTTGCTTGAAATTTTAGCAAATTCTAGAAAAAAAATATGGGAATCAGTGTGAAATCATTCATAATGTTATCAATCAATTAATCAATCAACCAATCAATCAATAGGCTTCCAGAAATGCT